GGATCCCAGTCCATCACAGGACGCACGACACGCACACACCCCCACCAGAGCCGATTTTCCCAGAAGCCATTTAACCTCCCCGTATGTCTTTGGCCCCTGGGAAGAAACCAGAGCACCCAGAGGAAACCCACGTCAACCCAGTGAGAACATACGAGTTCCACACAGACAACACCCGAGGTCCGGGATTGAACCCAGGGACCCATGGCTGCAAGGCGATCACTGTGTCACGAAGCCACCCAGCAAGTTTTATAATTACACTGGATAGAAGTTACGTACGATATAGTATCTAACAGCCTGAAGATGCCCTTTGTAAGGGGAGTCATCTCCAGGTGCTGCAGTTGTTGGCTGTGAAATGATTCCCATCTTAGTTCACTTGACAAAAGAGTAACCGGTTCTTAAGATCTGGCGTCGGGCGGGTGCTGGTGTGTTTTTCGCCGTGTGCAGTATATCCTTGCGCGTCAGTCGAGTCCCACGAGCCCTCGATTTCCTCCCCCCTCAGCTGAGTTGACTCCCAGGAATGCAGTTTCTTCAGATTCGAGAGAAGTGTGTTTGTTCCCCCTCTGTTGAGTTTGTTCTGGTCACTGAAGAGCCTGCAGAGTTCAAGAAAGACAATGCTAATACTTTGTGTAAATAAACGGGGGGGAGATGAGCTCATTTGTTTGTTGACCATCAACACAAACGTGCTCCCTGTCCACAATTCTTTGTGAGAATTGAAGTTATCGTCATGCTCTGTTGGTCCTACAGCGGACTAGGCTGCCTTTGTCTGAACACCAGGTTTGTGCTGGAAAACAACAGATTTTTGTTTATGCCGTGAGCATGCCACAGGGCTCACCAAGGAGACAGAGTTGTCTCTGTGTGAGAACAAGAGAAAATTTAGAATTTGCAGCGGAGTGGGATAAACAAGATAAAAGGGGCAAGGGGAGTGAGAGGTCTACGTTTTTCTTTTTCTGGCTTTTTCTGTCTGAAAACTAAAAACGGTCCCTAGTGTCTCTCATTATTCATGTGAGATCTTTACAGGATGAAGGGTCACTGGATCTTCACTCTGGACTCAGGAAATGTCATGTCATTGGTTGCCAGAAAAACATCCTAAGTCTTTGAAAGTGTTTCAAGAAAATAAAACATATTTCCAGCTCTGAAAAAGATGGGATGTTACACAGCTTGATATCCGTGTTAAGAGCAGCTTTCTATCAGTTAAAGTTCAAGAGCCAGGCAGTTATATGGAATATTAGTTAAAGGAAATGCTGGTTTAATAGAGTAAAATGTAGGTGTTCAAATTGTGGTCTTCTTTTAGGTCCATATGTGAGTAACAGAAGTGTAGAACAACAATCACATCACTTTCCCCCCCATTTGTCCTTTTTGTGCTTTGTTGAGGTGGCAGGAGAGTGAACTGTTCACTGTAAATGATATATTGGGAATGTGCTTTTACCATTTTACTGCATAAACACTGAAATACTGTTAGAATTTAGATTTTGTAACAATGTCTTTTTTCAGTGCTTGGGGGGAAACAAAAAGCTTTGAGCTGCTTTACTTTGTCTCCCATATTGATAGTGTCTTATATTTAGATTTTCCTGTGATTTCTTGTGTTGTGTTTCTAAGATACCCCTTGCAGAGGCAGTAAATCCAGAGTACAGTGTACTGAGGCACAGTGAAATCGTGACAAAAGCATGGCTCAGATGGAAAGTGAAACACAATGAAATCCATTGGAGACTCAAGAAAAGCAAAGCTTTTCAGGAAGGAAACATCACGCTTAGTTCTAGGGAGGCTTCATTGTCTTCTGATTTTGACACCATCTGGATTCCTCATTAGCTGCTGCTGTAGGTGGCGTTGGTGGACCAATAGGCGGTGCTCTCCCCTCTGAACCACGGTTCATCCGTTTCATATCATTGTGATCCCCAGTTCAGTGTCCAGGGACACTGTGCAAAAGGAGGTGCTGTCCTTTCGGTGAGATGTCATTAAAGGACCCACAACACTGTCTGTAAGAGTGCTAACCCCAGTGTTTTGTCTCCATGTGGATTTGCCAGTGTGGCCAATTGATATTTTCCCTTAGTTCAAACGATGAAGTGATTTTTTGTTTCTCAGCCTAGTCTGCTGGGTAGTGGGGCTAAAGGGTTTGTTGTGGCTGCTGCCGGCTGTCTCCTCCACGGGGGCTGCGCTTCACTGCAGGATGCAGTGCATGATATGTAGAGCACATCGAGATCCACTTCTTGCTTCTTATTATGTTTTACTTTAACAGCATCAATGGTGAAAATGTGAATTTGTGCAGCTGGCCGAATGAACAGGTTTAACGCACTTACTGAGAGCTGAGCGGAGTCAAGTCAGTGAGTTGACTTTCACCGATGGGGTGGCATTCGAACAACCCCTTGAATCAGCGGTAGAATCTGCTGTTCTGTTCTCATGGTGGAAAACAGCAGTGGGTGTGGGTGAACCCCTAGCACAGGAGCTCGGAGACGCTCCCCCAGAAGCCCAGCTGCTGGGGGAGATAAAACCCGTCTGCTTAATCTCCTGCTGTACAGGATCATGGGTTGGGTGGGTTATCCGCCCAACGCAAGAAGCTTCAGTCCAGGAGACAAGTGTTTTGGGGCAAACACGCCAGCGGGACAGAGGGAACTCCTGGCGTTCTGTCGTGGATGTGACGTCAAGGGCTGACGTCGCTCGCGAACGGGCCTGGATAAATGACAGACACGCTCACACGCGCTGATACGCGCTGACACGCGCCTCTGCTGTTTCAGGACCTCGCTCCGGCTCCGGCTCCGGCTCTGGGGAGACAGGGATGGCGGACCAGGAGACCCCGCCTGGGGGGGAAGCCCCTCCCAACTACATGATCTTCATCCTGGTCCTCTTCTTCTTCCTCACGGGCCTGTTGGGCTTCCTGATCTGCCACGTGCTGAAGAAGAAGGGATACCGCTGCCGCACAGGAGAGCCAGAGGAGGAGTGCGAGGACAAGCTGGCCGGGGGCACAGGAGGTGGGCAAGGGAACTCGGAGACAACAGGCCAGCATTTTACTACTACTAAAAATACTACTATTACTGCTGCTACCACAACTAATAATACTACTACTGCTGCTACCACACTAATAATACTACTACTGCTGATAACACACTAATAATACTATTACTACTGCTGCTACTACTGATAATAATACTTGCAAGTTACATTTCTATATGTTACACAGTGCTATTGCTAGAAAACGACTGCAGATTATTGGTTTGTTTAGATATACATGGGAATATTAGCATTTCTGTCTTATTCTAACCCCCTGCTGTAACCATCTGCCTCCATTGCGTTGAAAGACACGAAAAGGTCAGATTTAAATGTGGGATTGTGATTCAGCCAGTGATGGCGAGAAAACAAGGGCCCACAAGCAACAGGCAAAGCCACCACGTCTAGGCAGGGAGGTACTTTATTCATCTCATTCAAGTGCTACAGCAGCCAGGAACAATCAGCACAGAACAGCACAAATATAGTAATATGATAAATAAATGTACAGAACACAAGGAAGATGTAATACACAGTATAGATATTGCACACTCCCAAGCATATTGGACAGAGTAGGTAACTAGTGCAACTATCGCACAGTTGTGAATAATCAAAAAATTGCCCATGTCAGTTCCACGTATCGCACTTCCATAAACCAGATGTAGACAGAACACCAGTAAGACAGAGCACCAGTTGTTACAGAGGTATAAATGTATTTGGTCAATAAAGTTATCTGCTTTTTTGACTGTGTTTCTCAAAAGATGAGACGGAACTACGGTATGCCAGAACAGGATTGCGTGAAGTTTGTGATTGTTAAAGATCTGGATAAAGTGCCACATTCTGTCTTACATGACAGTCAATAAACCAATAACAATCGATATGGTAAAGCCGGCAATTCAATAAATTACTCATTTATTGTATTGATTGCATGTAAGTGTCAGACTCTCTGAACAGTAATAAAAATCAGTGAAGCCACTAATAAGCTATAAAGCTCCTTGCTGCATGAAGGCTGGAATCTGATTTTTGGAAAGGCATGGTTACATTTTGCATTGGCAGTTTGTTCCTTTGTGGGTATTTCAGCAGTGCAATGATGTATGTAGAACACTCTTCTTACTTAGCCAGATGTATCTTTAGCAATTTAACCTATATTTATTCTTTCTTAATTGTTCCCAGCAGGATGGCATTAAGAGAGCTTGTTTTCAAGAGTGTCCTTGCCATGACCTGTCAAGCGCAGTTCTCAGCTGAAACACCTGTTCAAAGCCTTTAAATGTCAAAGTAACCACGTGGCCATTAAAACACCCTCTCGGTTTCCATGACTCAAGAGAATATGAATAGACTTGTTACTGGCTGATTCTCTTTTTCTGAGGCCCTCCGTTCTCCCCCTTGTCTTTCAGAGGAGGAAGCAGAAGATCCTAACCAGGACACAGTGGAGCAGATCTTGAAGTGCATCATTGAAAACGAAGGCAAGTGATGCAATATTCCGGCTGTGCAGCACACTTCTGCGGAAAACCGCTGCGTTGTTATCTGCTACCAGACGTTAGATAGAGATCACTAATGTTGCCTAATTGTTATGTTGTTTTTAAAAGCTATTTTTCGCCCCGGCTGCTTACAGGTTTATTCAATTCATCACAGAATCTTTGCATCTGAATTATTTTCTTCGAGCGTGGGTGTTTTCTTAGCCCTTCGAGTTGACTTTTACGGAAGGGGTGTCGTTAAATAAATGTAGCTGTTGTTTTTTCTGTTGTGATGAGTTTGTGAGACTTTCCCCTACTTCCTGCAGGTGCAGGAGACAAAACAAACTCCTCTGCCCTAGGCACATCACCCCTTAGGGACCTCATGTTTTTGAAGGAGTTTTGAAACGTTAGGGTATGATGGTGGTGGTGATCTTCCTCAGAGCTCCAGGGTCCAAGGTCCCATTCCTGTCTAGGTTGCCTGTCTGTGTGGAGTTTGCATGTCTCCATGATTTGTGTGTGAGATTGTTAACATCATTATTGTCTCTCCTTGTAGCAAATGTAGAAGCCCTGAAGGAGATGTTGGTAAACCAGAATGTACCAGATCACATGGACCAAAGGTACAAATTAAAGTCGTCGGCGTGCGTATGAACATAAGCATGTGTGTTTTAAAGGTCCATCTAATACCTGACCCCCTTGAAAATTTTTAACTCAGTATGTTTCTTGTGCCAGTAATGTTGCAGAAGTTTCAAACAGTGCCACAGTAGTTCGGAGGGTGCAGAGTTGCTGCTCAAAAGTATAGTAAATAAATGTTATAAGCTTGTTATTTAGGTTAGAACAGACAAATTCTCTCTGAGCTCCTAGAACTGATTATTTATGCAATCATTGTCAGGGATGACATTTTATATAAATGTAACCACTCACAGATTTGATACCTTTATGTTTGTGAGCCCAGGTAATATATTGTCTGGGACTTCTAGCCTGTTCCACTTCTGTTTTCCATCATCTGGCACAGACCTGGCCAACCAACCTCTGCATGTGCTTCATGACGATTGCACCGTGAGATCAGACACTATCTAAGGCAGCGGAACCCAATCCAGTTAGTCTTATAGGACTCCTGTTTCTGTGGATTGGCAACACCTATTTAGATATTGATGAACCAAGCCAGTCACCTGATCAGTTCAGAGAGGGCTAAAGAGCAATTGGATCTGAGGTGTCCAGCCCTGGTCACGGAGAGCCCCAGTCCAGTTGGCCTTGTGGGTCACCTGCTTCCAAGGACTGTCAGTCCCTGGTGGGCTCCCTACAAAGCTCAGCAAGGGTGTCCTTGCAGAGGCAGGGAACCGGAACCCCAGTGAGATGCTAAGATGTCCTTCTGAAGGTTTCTCAACAGAAGATATTAACTGTGTGAATCCTCTGTAGTTCCAGAAACAAAACAACAACAGATACAGTACGTAGGGTAGTCTGTGACGGTCGTTTTCAGTATTTGCAATTTATCTTGGGAGAGTACCACTCATGTCCTCCGTCACCGCTGACACGCAGCTGTTAAAGCACTCTGGGAGTTTTCTCGGTTCCTCAGACCAGGGCAGCTCTGGGCATGGGTTGTTTTTTTTTAAGCCAAACGTGCGATTGAATTGATTGAGTACAACAGAGCTCAGCCTGCCCATTGGCATTCTGCCTGCATATGCCCTGGCTCATATCTGCAGCGTCTTCAGCGGCCTGCTCCAGGAGACAGAGCCCTGACACACAGCTAGAGAGAAGGAGAGGGAGGGGGTGGAGGAAAATGTACAGCCGGGATCATCCATCGCCGATTCTATTTCTCACTTTCAAGGTTCTCAATCAGATCCTGTCTTACTGCCAGAGTCCGACGCAGTATCATTGATTCATTTTTTTTTCTGTAATGTCAGGAGCTGCCATTGAAATTTATGCAGTACGGAGCTGGAGGCAAGGAATTGAGCAGATTACAAAAAGGCACCAGGTCTCAGCCAAGAACAGGCTTTAGTTTACCAGCTGCTGTGGAACAGAAGGGTATGTCTCTCAGGCCTAGTGTACAGCTTTCTAGGACTTCAACATGGGACATAATCATAAGACACTGATAACGATAGTCTGCTGTTTTCTCCTGACGTGTAAAAATGACAGAGAATTGATGGTGAGCTTCATGGTGCTAAGTCAACAGCAATGATGAGCCACCTGCACTGCTCATACACGGTGGGACTCTCTGAGGCACTGTGGGATACCGCAACTATAACCGGCATCAGATTTGTTAAAAAACGCAGCATTTTCCTGTGGTACCAGCTTTCAGTCGCCATTAAAGGGGAATTTATTTCGTGAGGGGGAATGAATAACCTGCCTGAGAAACTGGGACTGCAGGTCCCCCCTGAAACAGGCCGCGTGTCTGACCCATGTGCTCCTGTGTGTCCCCCTCCCTCACAGACTGCCGCGCAAGGAGAGCGCCGGCACCCTGCCGCCCCACCACCACACCGTGCACTCGGGCAGCGATCGCAATGCCTGCCTCCACTGCGTCCAGGGCCGCACCAGGAAGGCCCGCGGCCGGAGCCGGGTGGCCAGGAGCAAGGCCCGGCCCGGAGAGCACACGGTCTTCTCAGTGGGGAGGTGAGACCTGCAGTTCTGCGCAGGGGCGTAGCCACCCTGACTGGTCCTAGGCCTACCCCTTCGGCCCAAAGTTTTTAAAGATTTTTTTCCCTTGTTTCGGTACATGATTTACTTTTTAATTTTACGTGTTTGATTTTTTTCCATCGGATGTGATTTGCTGTTGGCTCGCTGTACATTTTGTGACCGTTAAGATGATGTCAATGTAGTGGGCATGCCTAGCCATAGCCTAATGGGCTATCGCTGTCGTCAGACGCTCTTTTGCGTTTAGCTGACGAGAGAAACCTATATGATGATTTATCTTTTTATTGTCTCGCCTCCTCTGCTATACTGCAGTTATTTGTTTTAGTTTTTAATTGCCTCTTGTCTTTTTGGTATAACCTGAAGTATTTTGATTAAACCAGGTAGTTTTATTTGCGAAACGTTTGCTAGCCCTTTGCAGATGGAGCCACCCAAACAGCTTTGAAAATGTCATGACCCAAAGAACAGTAACAAACATGGAACACCATCAAACTGTTTCCAGTGCCGTCCTGTTAGACTTCCAACTAGACGTTTGCATTTTAACAGGAAATGCACAGCTTGGCTGTTTTTCAGTGGGTTGACACAACTAGCCTTCTCCTGGACACCACGGTTTCATCAACATAGGCCTGAAGTCCAGTTTTCCTAACAATCCTGTCTCTTTTCTTCAGGTTCAGAGTCACCTACGTTGGTAAGAAGAACAGCATTACAGAAACCACCAACCCACCCACCACGGAGCAACAGCCCGCTGACCAGTCAGAGAGCACCGACCATCACAGCCCCCAAGCAGAGGGGGAGCCCGACCCGTCACAGTGCAAGGGGCAAGAGGCATACAATCTGAGGAGCATGTTCAAAGACGTCAGCCCAGAGGTGAACGACGGCGTGGCTCAGACCAGAGCCCAGCAGGTGGAAGACGTGGCCAAGAAGACTCAGTCAGAGACAGGGGGCGCTGACAGCTGCGCACCTGCCTCAGCTCCAGAGAAGAGCCCCGCAGCTCGAGAAGATGGCGTGGTCGAGGGGACCACCATCAGAGAAGGTGCTCTTAACGGCACCTGCGCGGTCCCGGGCATCCACTCCAGCCCAGGGCCGATGGAGGACATCGTTCTCCTGAGTGCGGCGCCGGGCCGGCGGAGGGAATACGCCGTCCTCCAGATGGAGGACTTCGGGGACGACGCGGCGCAAATGGAGGACGGGAAGGACGACATGGTGGAAATGGAGGACATCAAGGACTGCAGGGTGAGCCGGGAGCTGGAAGGGGAGGAGGTCTTGCGGAGCCTGAGAGCCGCGGGGCACGGGGCTCAGTCTGGGGAGGGCAAGAGGAGGTCGATCGTGGTGCACACGCAGCACAAGTGGTAAAGAAGAACGTGATGCCAGGAGGGGCGGGAGAGCAGCCAAGAAGGGCAGTGGATCAGAGACACCCGGGTCACCCGGACTGCACTGGGTCATTGGCAGCCTCACTGGGGCTGAAGCCGTGATCCATTGTCAGATTTTACTGTCAGGAATACATCGGCCAAGAAATACTGATCCAGCATTATCTCTCCTGTGGTTGAACCAGCACTTGCATAAAGCTTAGTGACCACTGGTTAAAATGTTACCTTGATGATCGCAGATAAAGAGCTGTTTGCCTTGGGCCACCACTCCTTGGGCTACCAGCTAGAGGGTAATAGGAGATCTCACAACTAGACCAGTGTTTAATCCTCGTGGCTCTTTCTGACAAGATTGTACAAGAGCCTCCTTTTCCTCATTAAATAGTTGCCCTGCCCTGTAAGGGATTGTTAGCTCAGATATTTCAGTCTGTCTCTAGCCTCTTACACTTTCATTGCCACACAGTGTGTTATCCTAACAATGCCTTCTGAGGACTACAAACAAAATCAAGGGGAAGGAACTTGATTATTTTAAACTGCTTCTGAAAATAACTTTTGAAATCTGAGGCCAATAATTATGCGACACTCTGGATACCTTATGCATTACTTACTGCACTTCTGTCTGAGATAGCCTGTAAAAAAAGACAAGAAAGTTACAGATATTATTTTTCATTTTACAGATGAAGCCAAACTTAAATACGTAACCACACAACTGGCAGCACTGTTTTAGGAGCCCAGTTCTAAGCACATTGGAGAGAATTAGCTCCTCTCTGTAGCGCAATATTATATGTAGCATGCAAGACAGCACTGCTGCAACTAGAATTTCATTTGCAGAATGATCTCGTTTGCACTGCAGCTAACATCTCTGCTGCAGCCCAACAGAAAGACCACTTTCTCCTCCCCAGCTGGTCCTGATGTGCTGTTTCTCCCACACACACAAAAATCCCTCGACTCAGTAGGAATTGATTTTTTTTCTCTGTTGCCACTGTCCATATACTACAGATTAGTTTGTGGACGTGGAGGCGGGGGGGGTCGAGAAATAAAACGCTGTCCGTTGGGTTCGAGACCCGCCTGGCTGCAGACAAGCCTCTGCACACAGGGGGCGCACGTTCAGGAGCAGCCAAACGGGAGATTAGGATTTCATTACAGTTACAGTTCGTAATCCCCTCCTGCCCCTTCACAGCCTTAATCAGAGGGGTGGGCTCTGTACATCCGTACATTGATGCCGCCTTGCTTTTCAGTGCCAAGTGTCATACAACTAATGAAGACAATCCCTTAAACAGCGTGACCAAAAGATGCAGCCAGTGTACGCCGGAGCAGACCATGCAGGACCACAGAAAACATGTTCTCAAAGTCGCCAGCAGGAGCTCTCCTGCATACATTACATTATTCAAAGATAACCCATGTGCTTATGTGTAATAGAAAATCATTGTAAATCTCTATTTTTAAGCAAGCCTTTTCTGGAAACAAAATAGCTCAATTTCTGCCTCTTCACAGGTCATTTCTTACACCTGGGAGATGCAAACTAACACTCTATGGAGGGGGAAGGGCCAGTAGTTTAAACAGTCTGACTCTTCCCAATGTCCTGCTCTGAGCATCTTAGTTCCAGAACAGACGGATGTCTCTTTTAAATTCTTTTAAGATGATTTGACAGCTATCCCGGCTCTTCTGTATCTCTAGACTTTTACGCCGGGCATTAAATCTCAGTGTTGAACTTGGCTCATTTCCATTCTGAGCACACAGTAATGGCCACCAATACAGATTTTGCTGCAGCTGCAGCCTCACAGAATGTTGGCGCTGGATTATCACCTTCTGGGTGCCAGACGAAACTGATAGACCAATATGTTAATTTACTCAGCACCTTCTAGACGAACCCTTACAACCTAGCTCTTACTCTGCCTTTCGGAAATTCTGCTGGTAATCTCTAGGATCTTCCTACGTTGCAGATGTAGCATAATGCAACCCTACAGTACGTCCGATTTCTTCAACCACCTTTGATTTGATTTAGGTTCCAAATAAGAATGTTTGATACCCTGAAAATCGATCGGCGGCAAAGACATCACTCAGCTTGGAGTCAGTGAGCAAATAAGATTTAAGTTTTATTCTATTTTATCACTTTGTAAGAAAGTAATGATATATACAGTAATATTTTCTATTTTTAATAATGGTTGTAGGCTGTTTTGTTGTCAGCAATTTGTGTAAAGGGAAAGGTTTGCATTGCTGAACATTTTCCGTACAAAAACACACTTTGATGCAACGCACTTAGCTCTGATGAGCGACAAAATCACGATAATAAAAAATAACCAATGGTGAAAAGACAAGGTCAGAAGTCTTCTTGCTGGAAATGTCCTGACTGCTTTGAGCATTAAGGCCCCCTGGTGGACAAAATCATGAATACACCTAGAGGTAGTCAGGGGAAGGTACTGGCTAAGGGGGTCAGAAATTTTAGAGCAGCTCCTGACAGAATTTCTGCTGATCTCGGCTGAAGAAAAATATCCCGGGATATCTCTGCTCACTGTACACAGTACGGTCACAGGAGTCACGAACCATTGCAGTGGGAATTGAGCAGGAAGTGAAGTAGCTTTAGCACAAAAGGAATCGTGAGGAAGGCTCCCTCACCCAGAAAAATATTTTGCACAAATCCTTACCTTCAGCAGTGCTCACTATCAATATCCTACGTAGAAACGTCCGAGACCTATTTCAACAATAAATAGGTAAGGCTTAGTTTTAGGGGCCAAGGTCTCAAGAGCTATTAACTTATTCCAGAAAAAAAGACTTCTCAGGATGCCCTTTGATAATCTGCATTGCCTTTCAGTAATCCTGGCATTAACATTGGAAATCCTCAATAAGACAAAAACTGTGTCTGGCGCATTTAAGAGTTTAGATTGATCAATTCAGTTCAGTAAAATATCAAAACTTTTTAGAGAAATAGTTTTAAAACGAATGAGCCTTTTTAACTTTATAAGGAAGCAAATCTGAATGTTAAAATTGTCAAATTCGCCCTCGGCTTTCTGAAATAAGCTGTACAATTTTCAAGGTTCAGATTTATCAGGAGGCAGCATAGCTTTAAAGTAGAGAATTTTATTTTTTCATACACTTCTAGAGTTTAAGATTGACTAGGTGAAAAGTTAAACAGCCACAGAGAATTTTGTGTAGGAGTAAACAGCTTGAAAGTTGCTTCAGGTGTGTACAGTAGAGTACAGTACGAGAGGCCACTAACTGGCCATAATTGTAAAATACAATTAAAAGGTATTCCTTCAAACAATTAATGAACCCGTTAATAATATTACTAATATCCAATTACGGGGTTTGATTTTTGAGGGAGTGTACTTTAAAGGTCAGTATTTTTTGGAGTTTACTCAATTCAGTTTAAAAAAACAACAAACCTTTTGTACAATGATCGCACATCCACAAGCGTGTCACCAGCAGACTGAGTATATGCACATGTGAAACAAGCCCACTGTGGAGTATGGTTCCACCATGAAGCACGCCTGTTGTTGTAGAAAAACGGTAGTTCTGGGGATCAAGTCTGTCTTAAAGAGGCTCCACCAATCGGAAGGCATCCTTCACTGGGTCAAAGGTGCTGCTGAATTCGAGTATCCATCACCTAGACTGAATACCCAGTGCCGACCATGACAGCTTCATCCCAGGAGCGACACCAGAGTCCGTCTCTCACAAGCAGCCTGTCACTTCCGTCAAGTGTAACAACAGCAACAAAACATATATGTATGTGTGTGTGTGTGTATAGTGGCCTTAACAAGTAACAATGGTATATACTGCATGCATTTACATTGGAAAAATCAATCTAGAAATACCTGTAGCAAAAACAAAAACGTATTTGTACAGTATATATTATATATGCTGGGTTCATGAAAGTAGAAATAATATTCAAGCCTTGAACTTGGAAATGCAATCAATACAAATAATGTACTGTAAATGAAATTGTACTCTGCAGTTTTAAATTAAATAAAAAATCAAAACTATGCATTTTTAACAATGGTTGAGCTGGTGCATCGTCTTTTAGAACTGTAGCTGAAGCGTAAATGTGGCTGATTTCGAATCCTTTCCCTTTGCCGTTTTGCTATTCTAAAATACACATTCCTATTGTTATCTTTTCACTATTAACTGACTGCTTCACCTCAGGTAGCTGGCCAGGACGATGTTCATTCTACTGACTCCTACAAAGCCTCCAGCAACACTCCAAAGCTTGATTAAATAGCAGTTGAACAACCACAGGAATCGTATATCCACACTGACCAGTTTTGCCACGATTCGCTTTTCGTGTAGCCGATCACTTTTACACCTCTGTCACGTTTTGCTCCTCATAAAAAGAAGAAAGATGGTTTTAAAAAGTGCAGTAGTTCACACTAAGCAGGAGACGTCCTGTTAAGAGCTGATTGCAGTTCCATGCTAACTACTGTACCCACACAGCTTCTTGCCAGAGGACACAAGAGGAAACTATATGGAAGTGGGTATTCAAACAAGAACAGGAGACACTTCTTTACCCAGAGGGTTGTGGGTGTATGGAACAAGCTAACCAGCCATGCTGTTGAAGCCCATGCCCCAGCTTCTTTCAATGGCTGGATGACATTCTTGGATCAATTAACTACAAATTAAGAAAAATGGGCCAGATGGGCCAAAATAGCCTCCTCTCGTTTGTAAACCTTCTGATGTTCTATTGCGTCTTCAAGCTATACAGTTTTCCCTCTTCAGAAACCATGTATCAATGGCCTCTAGGTGATGTCCATGATCCCCCCCAACAGCTACTGCAGGTGTAGCCCGCAGTCGACACGCTGGAGAGAGGAACTGGCACACAGACCACGGTACCACGCTCAAACTAGTGTTATTTTTTATTTGTGCAGCAATGCATATACAAATGACAGCCTTGCATAGTTGAAACAAACTGCTATTTTTCACATTACTAAGGGCATTAAAAGAAACCTTGCTGCATCACTCTGGTCACAGGGTAGACTGCATCTGTCCCTCACACCAGATGCAAACTAACAAAACCCGAAAACAATCCACTTGCCCATTCCAATTCCAAGAAGGTACAATAATAAAACATACACTGAGCAGGACTCCCAATACAGCTGGGTAATTCTTCTTCTTAAGAGCACCAAAGTCAGTTCGCTCTAAGTAGGTTTTTCTCTTATCGAGAGATGTAATTAAATATTGTTACATGAATTTGATCAAATATCTTTTTCTTCCAGCAATGTACAAGACTGTAATACTGTTACATTTGCATTATGCTCCCATGAATAAAGATATTCCAGTTTTAGCCTTTTACTTACTTTCTGTCCTTTGAAGGCCAAAGAAGCCTTAATACAGTATTGAAAATCTCAAGGATCTGTCACTGAGCAAAATATTTCAGCCGTCTCACATGAATTAAGAGCCAAGCTGTGCAAACAATTGTTCTCCAACACCACTGTATAATTTACATTCTAAGTAGCAGCGAGAGTTTGAAATGAAAGGAAAATATTTGAAATGAATAACAAAATATATTACATATAAAAGTAATTAAAATTAAATAGTTTTGCTATAAAGAATTTAATAAATAAAAATAACAACACAGAGACCGAGTTAAGCTGGAGCATCTCTAAACCTTTAGGATTGTAAGGGATGCTTTGCCGAGGCATAAGTCAGGACCAAGAGTATTGACGCGCAGACAACTCTCGGATTTAGGTTGAAAATTTAGAACCGGCAATAAAATACAAACATAATGCTGATAAAACTTGCTCACATTACATCGGAAAGGGACTAGCCTTCTTCAGTGGAAATCTGGCTCAAGGTGCCCAATTAAATTTCCCAGATCTCACAGCATCACGAACAAAACAAAGGAAAGAATGCACGCTTCAGCAAATATTTTAGAAATGGGCTTTGTTTGACAAATGATAGTTTGCCACCTGACACGGACAGAGAACAGCTGATCAAAACTGCTTGCTGTCCTTCAAATCCCTGTTTTGACTGACTGGAGTACAAGCGTCTCACCCTCCTGTTATTAAAACGTTACTGTGACATACTACAACCGCCCATAGATACACATGAAAGAAGTGAGTTTAACTAAAGACTAAAGACCTTTAGACCCAAAATTTCTGATGCAGAACACGAATTCTTTATAGAAAACAGTGAAGATATAATGGAGTGGGAACGACCAGCCCACCGTGTTTCTGAACAGCACTTCTGTTGGGCTGAGTGGTAGTTCCCCCGTGCCACAGACAGCCACCAGGGGGCAGCACTGTCGCCGAAGAGTGCAGTCAAGAGTCCTGGGTGCGTCGGCTGGAGGAAGTGCCCGGTCCCGTCATGCTGTGAGGCAGACAGGTCGCGGACCACCCAGCAGAGGGAGAGACCGACGCCTGCCTGGTCTCTGCTCGTGTCTTCATCCCTCGTCTCCTCAGGGCGCCGGGGAGCGCCTGTGTGCGGGGGGCAGGGGGGGGGCGCGCATCTGTGGCAACCAGACAGCAGCTCGTAAAACTGTACCCCTGGAGGGACACACGGCTGAGCCCGGCGGCCGCTGTCACGCAGTCGCGGCTGAGAGTTCAAGCCGATGGGACTAGAAACCCACTAAGGTCTCCTTGCGCGGGTTCGAATCCTGCACACTACTACCGCTTCAGCAACTTCTACTGCTGGTGCGAGAGCACAAGAGGAAACGACATGGAAGTGCATTTAAATCCGAGAACAGGGGGGTACTGCTTTACCCAGAGGGTTGGGGGGGTGTGGAACAAGCTACCCAGCCATGATGTTGAAGCCGATACCCTTGTTTCTTTTGAAAAACATCTGGATGAGATCCCCAGATCAATTAAGTACCAAACAGTCTAGATGGCCTCTCATTTCTAACCCTTCTCATGGTTTTTATCTGTACAGACACTGTGCGTTGCAAGTCCTCCCTGGATCTTCAGCAGTCACATTATTAAAAATGAACTGCATGAAGCCCAAGTGTAAAAATCTGAAAAGCTCAGACTGCAGGATTTGGCTCCCCTACCCAACATACATCAACTCTTTTCCCGAAAGCAACACTTTCCTTGAAAGTAGTTGGCTTTGAGAAATAATTAGCTAAAATAAAAATAATTTCCCATTAATTAAGGGAAACTATGATATTTTATATTAACTATAATGTACTGTATTATACTATATGTAATAATAAGGAACAGTTAACAGGTTTATTCCATGCTGAAAAGAAAAGAATGGAAACACAATGTTTCGGCTCACACCTGAAGAAGGCTTCACAGCCTAAACGTTGTTTCCTTTCTTTCCTTTTCAGCGTGAAATAAACCTTTACTTGTTCCTTTGCAGCCTACGCATGCTGACGCTGCTCCCTACTTGAACTATATGTAATAATTTTATTTATTACAACCAAACATAACAAGTTAAAATAATGTAAAAAGGGGGGACAAAAAGACCAAAAGTGAAAAATAAAATGATCAGGTGCTATTCACTTGCTGGTCTATTTTACATCTTGACTTGAGGTACAACACATACCAGTAAGTTAAACACTGTATGTTTTAGAAAGGCAGATACATGGACACTAACCCTAACCCACCCTGTCTGTGTGTCTCATGGAGAGCAGGTTGGGGTATGTGAAAAGACAAATTCCTAATACAAGAAATTGTATCTGGCCAATACAGTGATCTTATCTATCTTATCTGATGACAGATCAGTGATGACACTGGTTTAGGCCACGATTAGAGCTCGTGACAGAACTTGTTTTGGGGGAGGGGAACCTAAATACGTGAAAATAAAACATCGTATTAGCATTTCCGACCCCTTCTGCAGGGCTGGTGAGTGTAAACCTAAAATAAAGCTTGAGAGGTCTATTGAGCCAGCGAAAGTGAAAATAAACGACAAGCTCTGGTACGTGCAGAAGGAACTCCTTTCCATGTTTGGCACAACACCTACCGGGCGAATCCTGCGCGCTGAGACTTCCGGGGAGCTGTGAGCACTGCTTCCGCTCTCTGGAGAAGGACAGAACAGGAGAGAGCTCAGGCCCCACGGTCGCAAATAAATCGGATTTTTCAGAATTTACCCCCGACCTCTCCCGCATTTCACATTACAACTCGCACAATTCATGAAGAAATCTCAAGTCTTTCTGGATTCACACAGTTATCCTTGAGGAATTCCTTATCTCTGTCCTGCAGCATATTTAGCTTTGGAGGGGGGCAAAACCACCCCCAGTCATGTGCAATTCAAATGCATCCAACTGAATACCAAAGAAATACTTTGAACAGCTAGATGAAAATCAATTGCTGGAATTTGGCCTTTGTGAGCCGCTACGATAAGCGATTCTCATATCAAAGGTGTGACAGGTTCTTCCACAATTAGCAAGGGCAGGTCAGTTGAACTCTAACAGGGATTCTTTGGAAGTACAGTACTGCAGGTTCTGAAGGTCACAGCTCAAGAGGATACTATCTATCAGCGTGCTCTTCATCCTTGCCTGCTCCCCTGTCCGGCGGTCTCAGAACATCTTGAGGCACTGCCTGCAGTCGCTCTTCTGGGCCTCTAGGTGGCATGCTGTGTGCTGACCAGGTCCCCGGACCTGGGGAGGAGCACTGTGGTACAGGCGAGGCTCCAAGGACGGGGACCGGAGGGGAGAAAGGAGGAGGAGTAGGGGAGGAAAGACCCTGTAAGTCAAAACAGAGATCCGGAATTGGAGCTGAATTGTCTTTAGAAGAGGAGTCATTACCAGCCGTGACTGTTTGTAAGACGAGTGTCGGCGTCGGCAAAAAGTCACTGCCTTGAATATATTCATCCACCTAGACTAAAGGCTCACGTTTATCACTACACATTGGTAGTCAGTCTCTTTTTTTGCATTTAACATGGTATCTAAAGCTAGGAGCTAGATACGTTGGGCCTTTCAGAAGAATGGCTCCCACTTCCTCAGAACGGGAGTCAGAACCTGTTCCTCCGATTTCCTAGCAAAACAGTTTTCAAATGAGCGTACTTCAGGATTTCAGAGCAGCTTCCAGGACCCTGGTCAGTTACTGTTGCCCTTATGGATTAACTATGCGACCAAAGGTCAGGAAACATGTCCTGCCATGAGAAACAGTCAACATGGCCAAAGTTCACACTCAGCACAACGCAACACTAACACTGAGAGAGGAACTGTCAAACCGTTCCACAGTATAGACATGTCAAGCAATAACACTACTCTCTCTTCTTTTCCATTACTGACAAAGCTGGAGCTGTTCTGCTTGACGATGGTGGTAATGGGGTAGCTAGGGTTGATGGGGGAAATTGGGGTTATACATTATCTTAGGCTATTAGGGTCTGGTGAACAATACATGATCACATTTATGCTAGTTTACAAAAGACATGTTTAATAGGCTTATTAGAATAAAGAATAAGGAAAGGTTTCATTTTTTGCACGTAGTCAATGCTATGTCCTTGAATCACGTACACAGAAAATAAAGCATGATGTTTACAAAAAAGCAAAGCCACATACAGTATTTCTTATTTCCTTAATCTTGCATCTGCCTGGCAAAGAACAGCTGCAGCATTATTCTGAACATGGCTCCGACAGAAGATCTGACGACATGGAAGTTTATTAAGACTAGGAATGGGTGCTGTTTGTAAGTACAGGGGTATTAACCCCGACGTTTTGAGTAAATTCCACTCTGCGCTAGAACAGTCTGGCCTCCTCAAAGTTCCCTTATGTCAACCCCTGAAATCATTTCTCAGTTCTCGGTCTGATCTGCTGCATTGTGGTGTTGCTGGCCCATAAACACGACCAAGTTTCAACCAGTAGGGCCATTATTATTGGTGCTGTTACTGACAATAACAATAACAGCAGTTAACCATAAGGTGGCACTAAAACATAAGAAAAAAACCCTATTTCACTTTAGAGCAGTTTGTTCTCCCTTCTGTTCTGTTCATTTGTTTATGGAGGAGTTCCCCTGTATTGTTCTGTGAATCATAAAGACACTGTACTTGCAAACATCATCAAAGCAGCTTAAGGGTTAATTCAACTCAGTTCAAGCTTTAGAATCCTCTGGGAGACAGCTGAATACACCAATGCAATAAAGAAGACAAACTTGACCTGCAGAGCAGGCAGTACAACAGTGTGACAGGGGATAGGAGAGTATATTTACGCAGAGAGTGAGATTACAGAAGAGATGAAAGATGTTCCTCACTCTTCTCTCCTTTTCACCCTGGGGACACAGAGGCGTCTCCCACATGCGTGTAAATTCACTACGGAGGGGTGACATACTCTGTAATGCTCTGGAGTTTCTGGACGATAGAGGATATCTAAGTTGATTTGCCCCACTTACTTTGCGGCTCATCTTCGCTAATTTCCCCCCTAACTATGACAATTAACGGTACGGAAGTTGCCAAACCACGAAGCGAGACAGTATGGCAAGAAGCTTTCTCCCCCTGCAGTCCAGCGCTCACCTCTTCCTCGTCCTCCTCTTCGTCGCCCTCCCCCAGCAGCTCCACCACCAGCGAGGGGAAGACCCCCACCCGGCCGTCCAGCTCGCCCTCCCAGAATCCGTCGTCCACCTCGCCGTCTCCGCAGCGCAGCAGGCGGATCAGCGCCCCCTCGGGGAAGGACAGCTCCTCCGCGCTCTGCCCGCGGTACTCGTACAGGGCCCGCGCCCGCCCTGCGGGGCACAGCGGGGGTCAGCGGGCACCCTGCCAGCACCCTGCGCTGCGCGACCCCCGCTCGGCTCCGGCGTGCCCACACTGTCCCCCAGCATGGGGCTGGGACGCGGGATTTCGAATCTCGGCCCTGACTGTCCGCGGTGGGGGGTCGCGGTACAAATCGGACTCGGGCCTGGAGTCGCTGCTCCTGCCCTGGCTTGAGGGAGCCTTAAACAGGACACCTGCTGGTGTACGTGGCACCTCAGCATCAGCTGAAAGGCGAGACGACATCAGGAATAGCCACAAGGCCATCAAAGGAATGCACACTCATGATCCTTCACTCCTGGTCTTAAAATAGGGTGAACAGGGCTGGACCCAGACTGTAAAACTCTCTGTCACACTGTTGTTATCCAGGGCACTCTGGGAAACGCACCTCGTGTGTCTCTCCTTCAGTGTTCTCCGGAAGTGGCCATTTTCCTCACAATTAAACTCGCCTCAAAACTTCCCTGCCCTGCGCTGTCACTCCTCGCATCCCTATACCCCCTAATGACACCTGTGAGCTGCTTTCATCAAGTGCTCTTCGATGTCTCAGATCCAGTCCTCTGTTAATGATGATCTATGGAACAACCTCCAGATATAAGAGACAGCCAGAAGACTGACAACACCTTCAAATCAAAACTTTTAGACCTTAGCATTTACTGAACAACCCGTTAACACTGGTGTCACTTTATATAAGGTCAATATTACGGTATGTACTGTTGAGTGTGTTGTGTCATTAACTTTTGTTTTATCTTGTTAAGCATTCTGAAATGTTCCACATGAATTCACAGTGTAAAACAGATTTGATTAGCAATATAACATAAAAAAACTAGTTATACCAGTATTTCAGGGGATATTTCAGGGTAACGTTCCATAACCCTGTTAACCTGTGATTCAAACGGCCCAATGCCGAGCGTAAGAAAAAATTTCTTATTGCACCAGAAATCAGTGCAGAACAGGAGGTGCATGCAATTTTTAGTGATGTATATGTATTGCAAAAGCAAATATTGCAATATTTATGGATTGAGAAAGACCCTCATTAATCCAAGGCACTCTTACCGTGCACATTAGTTATTGAGAGAAATTTAATGCGCAAGTGTGCTTAGCAATTGATTGAACAATTCTGGATCATATCTGTACGCTTTCTCCTATCAGTTCAAAAGTTCATTCCAATGGCTGTATAAGGATACAAGATGACAGAACTGTGCACAGTGACAAAATCTGTTCTCCTTGGAAGTAGGAGAGCTTACTTGCGTTCGGTGTGGAATGTTCTCTCCCCTGTATCCCAGCTGAACTCCCAGAGGCAGTGGAACCCCCATCAGGCTGGGGGCTTCCCGGGACTGTCTGTAATGCTGCGCCCCCTGCAGACGGCTTCAGGAACTGCAGGTATCTCTCAGGCACATAGCCCTGCTGGCCTGCAGCGTTGCGCGCCTACACCAGGAGACAGACCACACTGAGTGCCCTCTTGAAATCCAGTCACACATCTGACTCAGCCTCAGCCCCAAACACAGTCGCCACCACACACTGGGGAACGTGTTGGTCCGCTAGCAAAGGTTTCAGCCTCCTCAGGGCTGTATCAGCACCAGAAATCAAAACCTCAGTGCTGGGTTTCCTACAAAGCTCGGCCAAAACATATAAAAGAGAAAGTGGAATGCTGCTATATGTGGTCTGGGAAGAAGGCTTGCATGCAGTCAAGGGCTATAACCTCTGAACCGAGAGTCTGCAGATCCCTGTACTGCGGAGAAAGGGTTAACCACAGAAGAGCTCAGCTGACAGGGTGCCTCCATACTACCAGCTTTTAGCTTATTACCAGCCAAATCGCCTTAAAATTACTTGTCCGGTGCCAAGAAGGTATACTTATAGCACAGCTGTATCCTTAGAGGGAGGCTGTAGACATATCTGCTTCATTTAGATCCACTCTTAGAAGCGCAGCCCTCATCCAGTGCACTGAGTAACTGAGGTTCTGAAATAGTCAGTGCTAAACAGGAAGGAGGGCAGCCGCGGTTGTTAAACAGAAAAAGAAGAACTGAGAGGTCAGTTTGGTGTCGCTGGGTCGATGCAGACCTTCAGCCAGTCCTCCATGTCTCCGTCTTCGATCACCTCGAGCTCCTCCCCCTCAGTAATTGAGAGCTCATCTGCCTGGCAAGCCTGCAAAGATCAGATCAGAACGCTCCACTCAAAGCTCTCTCACAGGAAACAAGGACTCCCCTCCACCACCAGTGTGCAGCCCCACCTGGAGGATGTGCCAGTCCTCTCCCCACACACCAGCTCTCAGTGGGGAGGAGAGCAGAGTGATGAAGCCAGTTCAGAGATGGGGATTATTAGGAGGCCATGACGGGTAAAGGCCAGGGAGAAATCTGACCAAGACACCAGGGTAACACCCCTACTCTTTTTGAGAAACGCTCAGGGATTTTTAATGACCACAGAGAGTCAGGACCTCGGTTTTACGTCCCATCCAAAGGATAGTGTCCCCATCACTACACTGGGGCATTAGGACCCACGCAGACCGCAGGGTGAGCGCCCCCTACTGGCCCCACTAACACCTCTTCCGGCAAGAGCCTTAGCTTTCCCAGGAGGTCTCCGCTCCAGGTACAGACCAGGCTCACGCCTGCTGAGCTTCAGTGCCAGTGGTGAGGTACAGGGTAATATAGCTGCTGGGATGAGGGATCTACCCAAAATGGGTAAATACAAAGCAAGAATGGAGATACCAAGGCAAGGGAATGATAAAATACTTAGGGAATACTCTTGGAAAAATACTACTGGTGCTAGGCACTCTGAAGACACAGTCTTTGATTAAGGTGGGTGGGAAACTGAACTAGTTCACACTACATAGGCCTTGTCACATGTTTGCTTGGGATTTCCTTTGTGGGTGTCTGACATGCATGTGTGTCTTCAGGGGTAGCCAGGCCTCACCTGGTAGCTATAAAGGACCCTGCAGGGCAGGGGGTACCCACGGGGGCAGGGGTCCAAGGACGACTCGGTGAACGTATCGCCGTTTTCATCAAATTCTTCAAAATCGGTGAACTCAAACTCATCCCCCTCCAAAAAAAGGAAGCACAAAGACGTCCACATTAGAATAAAAAATAAGAAAAAAACCACCATGCAGTCAATGCTGTGTCCAGATACACGTACACAGAAAGCCGTGGCAAGGAAGTTAATTTAAGCCCAGATCAAATCCTGTTGAGAAAGGCTGAAGGAAATATATGATTCGCATCAACAATAATGTACTTTGTGCCAGTGAATGCATTTACTCTGCCAAAACATTAACCTCTCCTAACGGGGCAGGGCCCTGAAAGATTTCCAGTCTGACAAGACGTTATAAATGGAAATTAAACAGTCCCAGGGATCAAATATTCACTGAAAAGATTCAGCAAAACGGTATGTGGAATAAAATACAAACAAAAAGGAGACTGAGAAAAAGATAGGATAGTTCTCCAAACTGTTTTTTTTTTGCCGACGGTTAAACTGCAACGCTATTCTTATATTTTGAGAAAGAGCCAGCATTGATGAGTACATTCCAAACCGCAATAAAAGTTAAATGTATAGAGTAACGTGTAAAACCTCCGATGCACATCACAAAATAGACTGAATTTCCAGGTGCGTGCCGCTCCATACTCTGCGCTTCAAAACGAGGAAGCAAAACGTCCGGTGAAATGAAGCGGCCCTTTGACACGGTGAACAAGCGGACTTGTGAACAGAGGTGTCGCTCACAACTCCCAAGATGGTTCTGCCGACAAACACTAGGCGTTACCTCCGCGCTGGAACATCTCTGCTTCACCACCTGGACTTATTCGTCCAGCAGTCGTGACGGGGACTAGGGAGCGGGAACAATCCGTCACAATCCGTGGGGACCCGCGCCCTCGCCCGTGGCGAGACCAGGGCGACACGCGGCCATTTCACGAAGTTCCGCGGCTCCGTGCTCAATTCGGAACGTGTCGGGTTTTTTTTTCTGTACGGCGAACGAATTTAATTTGTGGCCAAAATTTCATAACCGCACTGAGAAACTGGGAATGCAGCTCCCCTTCAAGGTCACCGTGTCACGCTTTGGTATGCCAATTATTATTGGGGATTGCGACGTGTTCGGGAAGCGAGCAGCAGAGGCCCGTTGCCAGCGCACAGGGACGGCTGTGGGCCGGAGGTCAGCACCAGGGGGCGCACTCACCAGGGGCGAGAGCTCGCCGTTGGACAGGCGCGCCTCGCTCAGGCGCCGCTCCCGCTCCAGCTCCTCGTCGGCCTGGCTCATGGCGCCGGACACCCAGGAGTCCACGTCCACCTGGCAGGAGCGCAGCAGGGCCAGCCGCGCCTCGGCCTTCACTCGGCTCACCTGGGCGGAGCACAGGAGGGCAGCCGTCTGAGGCTCCTGGACCAGCGGCCCGCGCCCCAGCCCCAGGCGGCGGCCACAAGCCCGGAAACCGAGCTCACTCAGATCTGCGGCTCAGCGAACAGGAGCCACGTGCTTCTCCGGTCAGCGAATATCACGGGTTAGACTGCCGGGAACAAACTGAAACTGCACTGCTTCCGCACCGTGCAGGGGCAGCACAGCAGGCTGCTGTAAATGACCGCAGACCAGTACTAGGGCACCGTTTTCTCCCATCAGTCCCACTGATCCGAAAGATCACAGCAACTTGGCTGTAGAAGGGGGGTGAGGCTTTCACCACTTTGGGAGCTTAATCAATAAGAATCAGGTTTAGAAGCTTTTTAAAGGTTTTTTCAAAAGAAGCATAAGAAACACTGATTTTACTTTAGTCATCGATCGATGCTCTTGATATGCGACCTGCCATACACATGCCAGGCTCCTGATTAAGGATAAACAAAAGCCATCAAAGTGGTAAGCCTGTGTGGGAGATCTATTGGCAACACGCATTCATGGACTGGCAAGAGAAGCTCTTTGTCTTGTCAAAAGTTTTCCAATATTCTTTCTTGTCACCTCATTTGCGTTTATTCCTCTGATGTGGGCAGGAAACAATGACTCACTGTTTTACATAACAAGCGCTTGTTTGCATGAGCACATCAATAAATGAGACAGCTTTAGATTTAAACGCACCGGTAGAGGAATCATAACTCACTCCAAGTGTAAGAGCCCAGTAAAACTACCAGAGTCTCTCTTCTCTCCAATCAAAAACTGGTCATAGCGTTCATACAGCCTGACTAGTCTTAGAACACTCATAATAAAGAACATACAGTAGTGTAACTACATTACTGCTCAACTCCAGCCCACAAGACAGCGGAGCTGAAGACCATGTTTGCCAACCCAATACATTTCAGAACCTCCACCAAGCTCAATTGGTTTTCATTCTTTCCATGTCGGCTGATCCCCCAGAGTAATTATGATATTTAAGCTGGTTATTTATGACCAGCTTACTATGTCTATATAGTAATAATGTTATTTAAGCTTAATACCTATGACGACAAGAAAAACTCTGACCGCTTAAGGGACAGCTTCTCTAAAGGCTTACTGTGGTGTACCAGGGTAAAAGTGTAGTAAATCCCAGTGAAGATGTGGTAAATTCATGGTAGCCCAAATGGAAACAGAAATGAAGCTGTTTCCATTTCACGTTCCTGGTCACGCTGTCTGATTCAGACCCTTTTCTCCGCACACATCAGTGGTACTGAAACAATAGATGGAAAGTCGATGGAAGAGGCAGAGAAAGTAACCTCAGAAACAAGGCATTGCTGAGAAACAGAGTTTCTGTTATGCTGCTGCCATGTTATGTTGCATTTAAATAGGAGAAGAGCTGGAAATCCCCTCAAACTAGCTTCCGTCTCCCTTTGCAAGCTTCTGCTGATACACAGACCTATCCGACTCAAATGGTCGCCCACAAACTACCCATACTGCTCCTGTGCTTGTGGTAGATATATTAGTCATCTGAACCAGGTCCTGCAGGGTACACATGGCCGTGCTACCAGAAATGAGTGTGTTTGTGTCTGCTCCGCCTAGGGCCTGGCGTTTCGTCGCCGGCGTGCTCAGTCCCTGCTCAGGCTGCTTGTGACCGTGTCGGAGAGCTGGCGGGAGTACCTGCGCCTTCCTCACACTCTCCTTCACTTCTTCCGCCCTGCGCTCCACCCCGGGCCGGTCGTCCACCGGCCCCAGCCTCCCGCGGGTCTCCAGGGCCTGCAGCGCCTGAGGGGGAAGACACACAGCTCCCAGCGCCTGTTTTTCTCACTCGAGTCCCTGTAGTCTCTGACCGGGTCTGAGGAGGGCTGCAGCTGGCGTCACGTTCCCCCCCCAGGCCTCTTCGTCTTCTAGGTGGTCAAAGACAAAGCCCTCATGGACTCCATAACAGGCCAAAGTCTAAGACAAAGTCCGGAATTCCATATTTTCCCGAGGCAGTCAGAGCCACCTCCTGAGCCCTCAGGGAGACGCCTAATCCCCTCCTTGAGCTGAAGGCCCTGGTGTCATCGCAGCCAGTGACCGATGGCTTTGCTCTGTTGGCTGAGAAAACACTGGTGTGTGCAGCCCCTTCCCTGTGGGCAGCAAGAGCTACTCTCACCTACTAGCTAATGCCTTAACTTTCATCAGTGGTAAATCTCTACATAAATCCGAGCTGCAAAGTCCTTCTTTTCCCTTTCGTTTCACAGATCTGGCGTCTTCATCAGTGAAGCCAACTACGAAAGCTCATGCGTCAGAGCCGTCACAGCTCTGTGCTGCAACTGACTCTTTCGCCGTCATCAGTTGTCATCTATTTTCAGGAAGCGCTGGGAAGAAACGGCACGTGCTCTTAACTGTGCAGAGACTGAGAGGCCTCCCCTCGCTCGGAGGATCACCTCCATCCAGCTGCCCGAGAGCCGATGCCACAGAGGCAGGGTGACTCACCCTCTCCCCGTGGGCGATGATTTTGTAGTCTTTGGCCATCTTGGTGGCCCACTTCCGCGCCTCCTTGTCCAGGAAGCTCTCCCCCTCGTGGGCGTCGCTCCGCTGCGTCACGGTGCTCACCTGGGACGGGACCGAGACGCGTGGGTCTGAGACGCGGCCGACCCAATCCACAGATGGGCCGTCCCGCGGGGCTGAGCACACTGTGGCTCGGCGCGGTTTCTCTCTGCCGTGTGTCTTTCTGGGATCGGCATATTCACGCTCATCTGCAAGGTGCTGCTGCCTTGTACTGATATTATCTACACATTGTAGAGTTCTAATGCCAGTATAATTCTTATGAATACAGTACAAATTGTATTAGGGAGACATCAGTATATTTGAGGGCTGGTAGCTCTTCTGGATTTCATTCCACTCCAAGAGCTTTAGTAACTTAAAGGCACTTATTATTAATCATCATCACCATCAACAGGCCGAAAACTTTATCCAAGACACGATTTTAAAGCTTATCACACACTCTTACAATCCAAGTAGTTTAACGTCATAGACTGCTGTATAGCTGAATATTAAGTGCATTGCTTTAAAAGAGCAGATAGGGATATTAAAGAATATTTACAGCTTTCTCCAGGTTTCCTAATGTTTTTTGAGACTTACTTAACTGGCTACATTAGAGCCCCGTTTACACCAGGCTGGTGTTGAGGTTTTCACTAATACCTTGTCATTGGCCGCTGCCTGAAAGTGAAACACCGAGGCCCTGGTGAAGGCCGGGCTTTCCTGGAGGAAGAGCTGCAGGTCACACTCCCTGGACACCTGCAGGCAGACACAGCACGCTGACCTGACTCGAAAACACTGGCGCAGAAGACAGAGGGGGTGACCGCTGCTGGGCCCGGATGGGGTTGTATCGCCTGGTCGCGGGCTCAGGGAGATCGGCCTGACCTGCACATCTACAGAATTCCTGAAAAGATCTCCGCCGCATGGGGGATGGTTAAGACGTGAAATGGTCATTCAGGAGAAAACTGCATTAGGTTGATCCCAGATGCAGAAAAAAATATTATACAGTAGATTTTTAAGTCGTCCCCCCAAAAAAACGAGTGTCAAAAACATTTAATAAACGCGTAATACCCAAAAGAGTAATAAAGAGGAGCTACAACCTCAGTCTTTTCTTTTAAGCAGCTCTTTTGCAATCCACACACACTACGAGAAGTGAGTCATGAGTGCAGGCGCTGGAATACCTGGCGGGAGGTGTCCTGGATCCTGCAGAATGCGATCTGTGTTGACTGACAGGTGTCAATCTCCGTCCCGCACAGCAGAGCGAACTGTTCGCGGAGCTGGCTGTACAGGTCCCCGTCCATGTCCTGGGGAAGCAGAGGAGGGCTTCAGCCGTGCGGTACTGGATGAAAACATTCAGCATTATGGTGCGCTTAAGATTCTGTGCAGTCTTTCACATTCAGAAGCATTCATTTAGAGGATTCACAAAGGAAAAAATTCAATAACACAGATATTAAGAACACAAATACCCAGTCTCAAGGCCTCCTCCAGGGGGGGTACCGAAGAAGCTATGGGAATCACACTGGAGAAGCCAGATACTCTAAGTGAGATTCAGACTGCAGTCTGAAAAAGTGCATATGTTGTGTCTTTGAAGGTATGTGAGACTGGGTTGGCAGTAAGTTCTGATACCCAAGAAAAGAGACTGCCACAATGTGTGAAGTGGCACTCGTAGACCAGTTAGGTGATGATCTTTCTTTTCTTGACCAAACATTTTTGGATCAGTCGTGCCAAGTGATTCAGAGAGAGTGTTGCAATGAGCTTTATAAGGTCCTATCTTTCAGACGGGACAATAAATGGAGGACCTATCCATGCTATGGACATTAAAGACCTCATGTTGTTGTCAATGTTGTGGCCAACTCCAAAATTCACGGCCTCAATTCGAGTTAAGGATGGACAGAAAACCATTCTATCGCCAGGCCTGTGGCCTGTTAATCTAAGCAGTACTTCCTGAAAAATAAAGTTCGGAAAAAACAAAACAAGTGGCAAAACTGGAACTTTGGATTCATTGTCCTTGTTGACTGTTTGCTTTCTGCTCAGTGGGATTCCTACCGGTTTGATGAGTGAGTGCTGTGACTGAGGTCAGAGAACTGCACACACTCCGTTGTTTGCCTTAAACCTGGGCCACACACATATCAGAGAAAGCTGGAAATGTGCCCAAAGGAAGGGAAGGATTTAGCAGAGGGATGCTAGAAAGAATGCTGGGATAGCAGTAATGCTTAGAAGATGAGTCTTAAGAGCCCTGGAATGTGTGTATTTATGTTGGCTCGGATGGCAAACGTAGTGCACAACAATGCACTGTTCTTTCTTGCAGACAGGGCACACACACAGATTTCAATTTAGAGGAAAATCCTCCAAACATTTTTTAAATTGCTCCTCTAACCACAATGCAAACTGAGTCTGACGATCACACAACAGAACATTCTACCTGAACCCTCTGCCTTTAATGAGATTTACAAACTCAGTGGTTAAGCGTGTTTAAAAGGCTTGTATGTTTATGTGGAGATTCTAAATACTACCATCGCAGACAGATAAGCTCTTAATGCTCCTCTGCATTACTCTACTGCAGTTTTGTAGTTTCTCACAGACTAATTTCAACTGATTCCAGTGATGCCTACTTTCAAGAGGAGGCCACAGTTGTGGTTTTATGGTTAAGGGCTTTTGAAGTAAGAAAAAATGTTTGAGCAGCAGGAAAGCAAATGCTGGCAGAAGCGATCGAGTCATCGACTGTGGCGTGAGCGTGACTCATTAAGAAAGACACAGCTAGAGACGTCAACATCACTGGCTTCCTCACCGACACCTCTGGTCAAAAGAAAAAACACTTCGGCCCCGGAAACAATGTGTTCTCTCACATTCTGGAAACTAATTTAAAACACTGTGAGTGGTGTGGGGAAAGCACATAATCGTTCTGTCGAATCTCAATAACAGCTTGTTAAAGGTCCTCCAGGAGAGGGTGTGTGCCACATGAAGACAGCAAAGCAGAAAGCCAGGGGCCACGATCCACTTCAACCAGGCGGCGGTGTGGCTGAGCCGAGCCCAGGGTGGTGGGGGCTGTCACTGCTACAATTTTTAGGTTGGTCGTTCGGTTTCCACTAGGCTCACCAGACCTTTTACCTGCATGACCTTCTCTAAAGTCTGCTTTAACACGAAAGCTTCTGGATGAGGACGGCAAGAGGCAGCCAACAGAAAAATCTGCTACAGTCCGAGACCAAGCAGCGACAAAAAATAGGGTGACAAAACCAGAATATCCTGTTTGTTTTACATTGTGTATTTACTGTAGGTTTCGGAGAGATGACAGAGCAGGCCTGAGAACAACTGCAGGTACAAGGTCCTCATCAAATTAACGCATATTCCAGCAACCGGAATGCGCCTCTGCAGGAATCTGCTGGGATCCTGCACAATCCTATTTGCCCACCAAATTTTGGACTCTGCACTTCGGAATGCAGCCCTGAACAGTAGGCTGACAGGACAACTCATGTCAAACTACCCAGTGCTACTCTCTTGAGATCTGCTGGCAGCAGGAAGAAGCCACTGTCTTAGTGCTTGAAATACACACGGAGTTGCATTTGCCGAAAAGCATTCTGTATTATGCAGAAGGACTCGTGTCTTTTGCTTGTATTTAGGTGTACGCGAGGCACTGGGGATGATCAAACTGCTAGCGTGAATACCAAAGAATTATGCAGTCTGCTCAAAAAGTCGCAATTTTCTGTGAACGGCTGGCCTTGGGTTGACATCGGCCCCACCCTCGTGGGGTCAGCGCGGCGGTACCTGCATGAGGCCGGGCAGGGCCGAGCAGCGGTAGTGCTCGTGGTGTGCGTTGATGGCCGCCAGGGCCAGCAGGTACTCGTTTCGTGCCTCGGTCAGGCGCTGGTCACACTCGCTCAGCCGGGCGCTCAGCTGAAGGGTGGGGGGGGGAGAGAGGGACATTCGCAAGTGAGGCTGGGGGAAGCAAAACATAAAAGCCACCGTACGCCCCTAGACCACGGCAGCAGGGAAAAGATGTGTGCCGCGCTCCACCCAATTCCTCTTTGTGTTATTGAGGTTGTGTACTTCTGAGGGAACCGTGTGCTGACAAGGTTCCCTCACTCGGGGAGTAAACAGGGGACGGCCGTTCCCCTTCTGCTTTTCCATCTTTCATTTGTAACGAAAACATAAGAAGAGGTGTTCTTTGCAACAGAGAGGCCATTTAAAGGCCTGTGATTGGTGCACTCTTACTACATATACAGCACAATTATGCGTATGCATTTCAACATGTCTCACATGCCAAAGGCAGCTGTTGATATGTTGCACAGTGCACTGATGCACAAATTCTACACACAGGGCAATCCCACAGAGCTTTATCGACACTACAGAAAGCGGTCATGCAAACCTGCAGAGGCATGCGCTGCACAGCTTACAAATACACAAGCTTACCTTCACACTTAGCTTCTGCATACTTGTTCTAAAGCGTAGAATCCCATGGTCATTCTTTTTGGACCTGAAGAGAGGCGAGCAGTTAGCAACATGCAATCCGAAGTCATTTACAAAATCAGTTCTGAGCAAAGGACAGAGTCAAGTTGCAGTAGTGCCCTATGGCAGTACAATAAGCAGCAAAGGCTCTCGACACAGTCCCGCCTCACCCTCTGCTAACCTCTCCATTGAATTATGCTGAATTGGTATTTATGGGTTTTAGGAACATCTGTACATGCCAGCGCTTGTCTAAAATAAAGGAAGAAGTCTTTTTGCTTACACATCAAAGACACAGGGAATACAGGTCTCCACCGGGCAGTTCACACTGCTAGACAGCCTGTTGAACAACAGATCCCTGCCTTATAGAAATGAGCACAAATGAGCAGCCTGTATTCAGTGGCAATATGTGTAACTCTGAAGTGTGACAACTAAAAAAAAAAACAGAATGGAGAAGATGTCATCACATCTGCCCTTATCGCCCACATGCAGAAGCACTATGCAGTTTGATGCAGTTTCCCCATTTTATAGATCTACGGGAAGTATAACAGAGGTCTGCATTTTCAAACACTGGCTTCCTGTTAAAACCAGACAGGGGTCTTCTGTTTTTTGTTGGGACTGCAATTTGCAAACTTGAGATGTCAACCCCAAGAAATATTCTATGGTGGTCTGTGATCTCTGGGAAATTCAGGGTTATGCTAACACACATCTCACGGAAGGATAAATCCCAGCGTCCCTGCCTATGCTGGATGAAAGGAAGTGTCACACAATCTCTGAAGGGCTTTAGCGTTGTCATCTCCTCCCCACCCTGGACTAGACCCCCGGAGCACTCCCAGCGCTGGCTGCTGCAGCCCCTGTCTCCCCAGCTGCCTCAGGTCTGGGCCTCGGACACTTGTGAGTTGTTTGTTGTTTCCCATAAATTAAGACAGAACTCCAGGATCAGGAGAGGCAGAATCGATGGGGGAGAGAGGTTCCTACACCGCACTCACAAAGCAAAGGGAAGAACTGGGCACGATTCTGGTTGTTAAAGGCGTGAGGACCTCCTGGGGTTTGACTTGCCCATGTTGCCCATTTTCTTAGAGGTTGATTTTTTAGGGGTCTACACAACCGGCAGGGGTTGGGGCCCCCGAAGACGAGGCCCTGGGGCCCCAGCAGCCCGACTCACTTGGCCTGGGCGTCCGCGGCCTTCTCCCTGGCGACCTCAGCGATGTGCTCCAGCTGGCTATATCTCTTCTTCGCCTTGTTCAGCTCCCGCGCCGCCTCCACCAGCTCCCCCTGCACTCGCTGCAGCTGCTCCAGGCCCTGCAGGAGAGTGTCCATCATTATTTCCGAATTACTTCTTTAAAACATCTGGGCATCATTCAAAACATAAGGCAATAAAGATCTAACCTTATAGCTTAACATGTCAAAATGAGCAATGGAGCATTCGAAGAAACCAGCACATCTCTGTATTTACTACCCGACTTGTTTCCAACAACAGTTTCAGTCAGACAGAAAATAAAGAAATACAGGGCCTTCAGATAAAAAATCAGCCAGCCTTGTACCACCGAATGGCACACCTAATCATTAAATTTTAAATTTTGAAGCACTGCCTGAAAAAGGTGGGTGGCTTCTCGTTAGCTGGGAAAAAGTCAAATCTGTAATTATATTGACATTTTTTAGGGTTTCCGCAGTAGAAATCTTTCTACTTTACTTTGACAGACCACCGAGGCACTACACAGATCTGTACTTTGAAAGCAGGGGCTGACTAACCTCATCAGGTGATTTATTTTCTTCAAAAATCAAAACAGAGATGACCAATCTAATGTCTGTTTAATAGATTTTTCTGTGTATTAAACAATCAGTACAGTAAAATGTCAGTACCTGGCAGTGGTTCAAGGTTTAACGGAGTTTGATTTTACACAACCAAAAAGATAACACAAACAAAAAAAGACAAGAGGGATTCACATTTGCAAATGTGAAAATGCTGTAAACAGAAGTAAAATAGCACATAATGAATCGTACAGGCGAGGCAGCTGAAAATAAGAGGAAACAGAATACTGAACCAGGTGCTTTAAAGATTGTAGCATATCAGCAGTTCCTTAATTTCTCCACAGTCAAGTTCCTGTTTGTAGTGCTTTGTTAAACTGACTACAAACGGAGGATGTTTCATTCTGACAACATTGTGGTCACCCATCCCAATACAACAACATACTGATCTGCACAGAAATCCCCCAGATAATCTGGCCAAAACACTCACGTTCTTGTGTTTATTGAGGGTTCAACCCTGTGTAGTAAATGTTTATAATTAGGATTTTCAGACTTGCTGGTATTTTGTCAGCAAAGTCTCTCCAGCGCTCAGATGGCAAACCTTCACTATGCAAACAGAATATGTCATTCTGATTCAGTATTTTTTTTTAAATCTACCAGACAATAATGGACCATCACTACCAAACTAAGTTTAAGACCTTAAATGTCTTTATCGGTCTTCATCCCCATGACCCTGGACTACAAGTAAAAGCAGGTTGTGAGTGCCAAGTCTAGCATGTAGCCTCTTCTTCATTTTCTAAACCTATGCACCTGAATTCCTGAGGTACAAATTGAGGCAAAAAATGGCTACTAAATGGCCAAAAGAATCTCCATGCAGCTCATCACTGAATACGATCCTACATTCACCAGCCACAGTATGACATAAATTCTGTTAGAGGTGGGACGCCTGTCCACAGAGGTGGGACGCCTGTCAAGCTGATCACTGCAGCCTTAGCTGTGACTGTCAGCTCGAAGAGCTGGTGCTGAATCCACCTCTAACTCTACGTTCACAATGTAAGACAGATCTTACACCACCCCTATCTAACATCTTGTTTTGCACACTGTGTTTTGAAAACATTCTGAACATAGTGAGACAAGAACTGCTATCAAATTCATGATATTGTCATTGGCTAGATGGTTCTGATTATTGGTGGGCCCATTACAAATCTACTGAAAGAATTGGGCCTTTCCTGGTATTTTTGTCTAAAGATGATTGGATAGTGACTTTGATAAATGCTACAACAGAACAGCCCTGCCTGACTCACCCTCTTCATCCGCTGCTCTTTGGCAGTCCGCAGGTTCTTCAGGGCTTCAGCCGTCAGAGAGCGGTAGGTCTCTGCTGCAGTGAGCCGAGAGAGACCACTCTGGACAGTGGCTTCAACCAGAGACCTCCACACCGCAAGAGCACTCCTGCAGAGAGGGTGAGAGAGATCACAGCAAAGGTTACAAACGAGAGACCGTCAGGCCTGTCTAGTCTCTTGGGTAGTTTAATAGCTCATCAATCCAGAGATCTGGAACCACTGTGCCGCAGAACCACCCTAACGAGTCTGGTTCTGACTGGAAAACAAATCAGCATTCAAGATAAATCATTGTTCTCATCGATGTGGCATGGCTTCCCAGAAATCTATTCCAGTATCCTGTTGAAAATAATATGGTTCAGATCCATTCATTTGGATTCTTGCTGCGCATATGCTATGTATATAGTTAGAGATTTTTAAATATTTAGGTCCCTGTGGGGTATTAGACTTCTGAAAAACGCTGAGGGTGAGATTTTAGTTTTAATAATGATATGATCAAAACGCTTCCTGTATTTGAGCTGAGATTAGAGCTTCTGGGGTTTATTCTCAATAAACTTTACAACACCTTGCCGTTTCAGTACTAATGAAGTTTATCACCAGCACTTAATGAGTTGCTGTTATTATTACTCAAATGAGAAACAAGATAATTCAAGTCGTGGTCTGAAACAGCGGCACCTGAAGACAGCTCCTGGGGCTGTGCCTTAGTAACTCTGTATGGCTGAGGCTTTTAAATGTCATAGAAACAAGCCCGCCCTACTGATTGCAACAAAACCTAGGAGTTCAAAGGCAAAGACCAAAAGGGATTTTGGGCTGAAGGAAGTGAAAATTGAACAATATTGTCCTTATGCCAGTTCCTTTAACCCTGGAGTCTCCAATCCTGGAACTGGAGGGCTTGATTTTACTGAACTAATTCTGCTCATTACTGCCGCAACTGGACAAACGTAATCTCTTCTAGCGTTTCAGGTACACAGCCTCTGACATCTAAAGAGACCCCCCAAAACACCAGCCTACCAGGACCAGACTGGGCGGCCCTTCTCTAGATCAATGATGGTCACCACATTTGTGCACATTAGCAGCCAAACACAACAAAACAGGAGCGCCAGGAGGGTTTCTCAAATCTTTCAAACACAATGATTGTTCCCAGCTTTGGGACACAAGCTGTCCTCCCAGGGACATACCTGGTATCTGGGACTTCCCCCTTCCCCCGGGGGCAGTCTCTCTTCAGGTACTGTGTGCCCAGTCTGTGCAGAGCCTGTGACAAGACAGGGGGAGGGTGGGCAGGCAGTCAGGCACCAGGCTCACACTGGCATGACTGCCTCAGGCTTGGGTTCCAGGAAGAGATCCCACGCAAGTTGAAAACCAAGATAAAACCAAACCCACAGCAAAAACAGAGCAGGCTGAGTGCTGACCATCTTAATTTCTGTGGCTTTCCTGGCCAAAGCATGCAGCTTGCACACAGCCTGTACCGCATTAAGGCACGTAGCCTGTAAAAAAAGCACAAAATAAGTGTCTAGAAGCTTGGTCTTGTGCATCATGCAAGCTGGATGCTGTAAGTCATGCAGAAAACCAATATTAACACCACAGCTGCAGGGTACCGTGGGATTACTGAGCAAGGTCACTGATTCTATAGGCTTATGTTAACTGTTCATTAGTGCCCCCTCAGGCTAGGTCTGCAATGCTAGACTACAAGGAGACCCGGCGCATGTATTTCAAACCCTTACAGTCAAGCCAGCGGACTTCTTCAGAGTGAACACAAGCGGAAACAAAGGGGAAGGGCATTTCATTTCCCACTGTGAGCAGCAGGCACTGTCTTAACAAAAGGGTTGCGGGAGACTGGAACAGGCCGCCCAGCCATGCTGTTGAAGCCGGTGTTCTGACCTCTCTCAGGAAGCGGCAGAGGGAGATCTGTGGAAAGCAAACAGGCCTGATGGGCCAAAAGGCCTCCTCTTGCTCGCAAACATTCCTACGCTTTTACATGTTTACGGGTCTTCGCTGCACATTGCAGAGCATCCAGGTCGCAGCATCGGCACAACCGGCCGCAGTGGAACAAGGTGTCCCGTGTTCTCCAGCGTGGGCCGGTCTTCATCTCTGGGAGCTGCCCCGGCCCCTCCTCACTGTCGCATTCCCCCGCTACATTCCACACAGCTCCAGCCCCAGGTGCGCAAACACTCTCTGCTGGCTCGCACGTGGGTGAGGAAGAGACCACTGGAACAGGAGTCAAGTGTCAACCCCAGCATCCAGGCTAAATTCCACTCTGGGCTCCCTGTGCCCCCCCCCCTCACTCCTCGAATTCAAACAGACCAAGTCTTCACTTCTCCACTTCATCTGGTGCGTAGGGGGCTGCTGGTACCGAATGGGGCTGCTCTTCAGGGGAAGATGAACGGGTTCCTTCTTAAATGCAAAGCACTTTAATGAGGAAGAGCACTCACTTTTCTTATTCTACAACCAGAAAGGCAGAGGACGTCCACTGGAAGAAGTAGCATTTGAAGCCAGCTAGCCAACAAAGCTCCTTTAATTTCCATTAGTTTTCTCCCTTTCTTTTCAATCCTTCTTTAACCGAGATCTTTCACAATGTTTAACAGCTATATTTTTACCTTCTTTTCGTAAGGGTGAACAGAAGTGTAAGAAAGGGTTGGTTTTTTTTCTTGAAAATTTTGCAAGAGTGTTCTTTGGCACCAAACTTTCCATCATTTATTCCCACTGTTATTGTTTCCGTGATGACAGGCTCTGGTGAGGCAATGTTTTTTTAGCTATGGGCTTTTTTGGAATCTGATCAGAATAATTCCACCCGTTGGGTACTAGTCATCAGTCATGAGTGGACACATTCAGCACCTACAGACGCAGGAACACTGACAACAGGGAGAAGCACTAGAGATCTGGACTTTATCCCAGCAAATAGAATAACTACAGCGAGGCAGGACGAAAACCAGCATGAGAGTCTCTGCCAGCTCCACTCATAACAAAGCACAGCCAAACCCATCTGGGACAGCAGGCAGACAATTACCTGCTTTAAAAACCACTGCCAAAGGCCTTTAAATGCTTAAAAAGTATCTTAGGGAGATAACATCCATGTTTTTATCTTTCTTGTTATGATATCTTGGTTAAGTTGGAGACTGAGCTCGGGTTCAGAAGCAGAACAGGGTTTCATCTGCTCAACGGGTGTGTTTGGTTCTAGATGTCCAGCAGGAGTGGCTGATGGGAACCCAGATGTCAGGCCAGCAGGCAGAGCTGAGAGCGGTCATTCCCAAAGAAGATACCTAAACACTTAACTCTCCAGGGTACTGCCCAGGAAACAGAACCAGCCTAAAGTTTAAAGTCTATGTGGGTGAATCACTTCTGTCTATAAGTCAAATTTTCATTAGAACCACAGAAGCCCTGTTTTGAAGCCCTGCTGTTTTAATTTTGTTCACCTCTTAGACAACTCAGGACTATGAAACATTTCCACAGCATTTCTCCACCAGTGATGAAAATAGCTGTTTTCTTCAGGGGTGTCCACATTGGGTGCTGTACTGTATACCTTACAAAGCCAGGCAGATAGAGATACTGCGTTATTTGTGTCACCCATGTTTTATGCATGGAGTTGTATTCTCTAATGCCCTTTTAGTAAATTTACAGGGGTCAATCCATTTGAACAGAGTTTTAGGCTACAAGGTATGGCGTTATTTTTTTAAGTCTTAAAATAAAGGCTACAAATTCAGTGAGTGGCCATTTTGAAAGTGTGCATAACAGCTCACAAAATTCAAATGACTTGCATCTCTCATTGTATTTGCATTCATTTAACAGATATGGTGCCCACAGCTAACTGGTGAGATCGTTGGAGACATTTAGAGACCTGTGACATGCACTGGTATCAAGTAGGACCTCATATGACTGCTTTAGCTCAGGGTGTTGATCTTGTGATGCAGAGCCCTAACATACTATAGAGGACACTACCACCACAATTCCTCAAAAAAAATAGTAATTGTCCACTTTTTTTTCCCCATGATGCTTCTAAGCTACACAAGGCCAAGCTACCAGGTTCACATATGGTTGTGTCTACACTTTGTGCTTTGTGAAAGTCACAGGGGCACTTTCTCCAAGACAAGGCCGCTGGTTTTAATCTGTCAAGGCCGAGTGGAAACATGTGGCTTCCTACAGTAAGGGAGGAGGGGGGATTGATGTTTTAAAAAAGTCTTAAAAGCACTTCTTTTTCAAAAGTGACTTCCCAGAAGGCCATCAACTACCCCACATAATGAAGCACATGCATTATATATTAACAGCGCAGCACGATCCTTCCCTCAATCTGCTGGCAATGCAGCGAAGACAACACTGACAACACAACATCTGCAGAACTTGTTCAGATCCACTGGAGTTCTACACAACCAATGCTCAAGCCAGCAGTGGGTGGATGAGACAAACTGTGACAGACATGGTTCACAGCCTGACACCTACTGGAAAGGGGTGCTGTTGGGCCCCAGGCATGTGAACACTGCTTCTGCACATTTCTGAGCACAGCACGAAGTTCACTGACAGCCTTATTTGTAACCTGTGTTCAGCTATTTATTGGAGCCTTATGCCACTGAACAGCATGTCTTGAAATATACATGCTTAAGTGCAAATCCTGTTCGTATAAATGACATCCTGTGTACTAGATATGCACAAGGCCCACTAAGTTCAGACGGAAGAATGGGAAAGATTTCAGTAACAGTCTGGAGTAAATCGACTGTGCTTGTGTTGTACAGCTCCCTCAAACAGAAGCAGACAACGTGTGTTGGAAAAGGAAGACATGGAAAAAACATGGAAGAGCTCAGGGCGAAGCTTCTCTTGGCGCCTCTTCCTCAGCAGGGGCGCTCGCTCACGGCCAAAGCCTTATCTGCCGGGAGAGATGACTCCCGCTGCCCGGGGGCTGACTGTCTCATCGCCTGGGCTTCACCTCTGAGGCTGAACTAGCCCCCCAGTCACAGCCCCCCCATGGCAAAGCACCATTCCAGCTCGAGGAAGGGGTCTCTGCCACACAGAGCAGTCTGATGACAGACAGACGGAAGGTTAAAAACGAGATATGACCTTCCCCTAGCCAGACGCAACAATAAAACGAGCTGCGTCACAGAACCGCAGGAATGCCGAACACTGTTGTATTATACTGAAGTGAGAGCACAGAAAAGTCTAGTAAAACACATTTGCTAATGACCTCATAATAAATGTAGGAATGAAGAGCAGAGATGTTGATGCCCACCACAAGAAACTATTTGAAAAACACGGTAAACACAATTGCATGAGCATGGGCAAAATGCTAAACCCACCTGGCAAAGCCGCGCAGAGGAAACCACTCTGAAAGCAAGGAGCTACATGAAACCAGCCATCTCTTGTTTTTGTTCTTTTTTTGGAATTGGTGTTGTCTTTTTTGTAATTAGCCTTCTTTTGCTGGGTTTAAGATGTCAAACACTGCTGCAGAGTATTCATGAATATAGGATTCATTCTGGTGCCAGGAAGGCGATTGTCTGTTAAGATTGTTTAAAAAAACTGTAGCAGTCATGCATTTCTAGTTCCTAAGCAGCGTCTCCAGCGACAGATGCAGAAGATTTTTTTTTGGCTGCCTAAATGTCAATGACATTTACATGACACGAAGTGAACAGGAGGAAATGGCAGCTGTAGCCTCTCCTCTCCTCTGCACCACACACACCTGGGAGAAGAGAGAACTGAGAAAAAGGAAGCAGGGAGCAGAACCTGAAAGCCTCAGCACAGTGCAGGAACTAGCAGCTGGGGCTCAGCACCCACGTTGTTAAACACCATCGCCCTGCCAGGTGTCCTTCCAATAAGACATTTGTACCAACCTGACCATACTCTCTTTCAATGGCCGCTCTCTGTTTACTGAAGGACCTGGAGAGGGAAAACAAAGGAGAGAGAAGAGAAGGTGGCGTCAGAAAGGAGACCCACACACGACGCTCAGGGGAGCAGGCCTGAGTCTAGACGGCAGTGTAGAGAGATCATCATTTTTAAGCAGTGCGTCAACACAAAAGAGACAGCTAACACTCCAAAGTACTGTGCACCGAAATGTCTGATTCTTTACGAGACATAAACCAAATGTCATGAATAAGGGGATTAAAGTTTTTGTGCCATTACGCTGAGTGATGCTAAATCACAATAGGATTGAAGGTCTTTCTTCATGCATTCCCTTGCTCCGCTACCCTTGCTTTGAGAAAACAAACTGCTCCCGCCTTTCTTCAATATTTGGGAGAGCCGGACTCTTTAATGAAAAGATCGCGGGTTGCAGCCCCCTGCGAAAACTGCTGGAAGTGCAGGTACCATAAATGGGCACCATTCATTCAAGATTAAACGGGAATCCTCTCCACATACCACAAGATTCGCACCACAGAATCTTGAATAAGCCTTGGACTAAATTTAAAACACATGGGGTTTTTGAGGGACTTTTCCAAAATTCTTGCTTCTGAATGTTTTGGTCATTAAACATTCCCAAGGCACTGTTCACAAGAGTAGGTGTGTCAAACCCAGCGTCCGGGCTAATTTCTACAATGGCTCACACCATTGGGCTCATCGGACCTTCCCCCTTATTTTAACTGGTCATTTCTCTCCTTCACTGGCGATTTCTGGGGCAGAATGGCATCGCCGCGCCACCCAGGTGGGAGCTGCAAGACAGAGGTAGATAAAGTGGGGCCCCTTTCTATACGCAAAGAGCTTGGGGTTTCCTGTGGAGAGAAAAACAGTGTATACATGCATTTCCTTCTTACTCAAAATTTTAGCACATGGCATGCTCTACCTAATACAAATGAGACCTCTTTAAAGACAAGTTCATTTCATTACAACAGGGTGACTGTGCTCTAGATGGGATTCGAGAGGTTTTGAATTTGACGAGCATTGGAAATGTGCTACAACCCCCAAAAAAAAAAAAAGATCAAGCTGACTGATCGATGCCTGTTTTCTCCTGCCGCCGGCTGTCCTCGTGGCCGGTGCCGAAGCAGACCTGGCTGATGAAATATTTCCAGCGCCATGAGGCTCCGACAGGCGCAAACAGAGCAAGAGGAGGGCCTGGCTGAAGGAGCAAGCGGTGGGGCGGTTTTGTTATCTTTTACTCTTTTACTTTTACAGAAGGAAGGTGGGGAGAGCCTTAATCGACCCACTGTGAAAATCTCCCAAAGGTCTCAAAGACTCATTTCCAAAGTTTCAAGGTACGATCAGCCCACCTTAAAGGCTGATGTCCACTTTAAAAATCCAGGGTTTTTCCTTGGGGGTTTTTGTTATTTGTAATTATAGTCAGCTTCTAAGAAATTACCTTCTTGTGCAAACCCGAGATCAAGCAACACGTTTAGCTTTTCCTATACACAACTGCTGAATCATTCTTAAAGTCTAAGAAAAGTGCTTCTCGGTTTAGTAAGCTTGTTTTACTTGGGCAGTGCACAGTCTGAAACACAGCAGGCTGGGATAAAGAAAAGCACAAACATAGCTTTTTTAAATTTAAAGCATACATTTTAAATTGCAAGTTCTGAGTGTAAAACCAAATCTGAGCTGGAAAGAGCAGAAAGATCTGAAGAATAGATCATAGATTGAATCATTCTTCATATCAAAGCTAAGAAAACTGGGGAAGTCGGCTAGATTGACTGTACCGGTCTTCACACCTGCCCTGAAATATCGATCTTAACACGATCAGAACTACAAATCAAATTTTATCTTTTCAGTTAAACTTCCTCACATCTGAAAGCAAACCACGTGTTTTAACAAAAAAAACCACCTAAATTAAAGTAGCTGTTTCTCCAGAAAACAAAACCAGGTACGGTTCTTATCAGTTGTCTTTGGCGATGTACTCACAAACCCCCATGCTCCGAAAACAAATGCAGAAATGTGGAAAAAAGGTAGATATGTCCCCAAAGGGGATTTTCTTTATAATGAATTAGCAGAGCTCCTTTAATTAAAGACATTTCCACGTGCTTATGTTAAAAACCTTATTTTCTTATAATATTTACCCTCTTCCACATATCTGTAGACAATGAATACAGTGAATGAATACAGTGGAAAAGCAGTATGAAGGAGCTAAACATTTCTTGGGCTACAAAGACTAAAACATCTCTACTTAAAAAACGCCTCATCTGCTCAAACAAATTTGGGAATCTTAAAGGTTACTTCTCATGAACATCCTTGAACATCTGTTCTTAAAAACATTTTGGAACTTAAAACTCCCGTGTCTGCCAATATAAAGGGTAATATTGGAATCTGTTTTAAAGGGTTTGCATAAATGGCACAGAAAGTACCCTCAAATGAGTGTGTTGTTTTGCAGATTGGCATACAGGAAAGTCTAACTGAAGAGCTAAAACATCAAGGTGATTTTTTTTGTACTCTGTGAAGCAGAATTGATCAGCATGTGAAATAACCACATATCAATTTTATGGGGCCAAATTTTAGGAAATCATATTCAATAATCTGGCCGGGCCATTTGTATCAGACACCTGTCACTCTTTGTAGGAAGACGTGCCTCTACTTTCAGTCCTAAAGATCACTGGTCTTGATGAGTCTGTGGGTGGTTGTTTCATCGTTGGATTTAATGTAGTTCATGGTTTGACCCTGCTGACATTAACATATTTGAGGATACTGCACGCGTGAAGTCTCCTCCATGCACTAAAGAAACTTAGATTTCCATTAGGATATCTAAGTATCCACCTAAAGGCTTTGGCACATTATGGCTTCAATACGAGCTCACAAGCACTTTTGCTAAGAACACAAGCAAAGCCACACCTCCAGTAAAGAAATTGTGGCCTAGAGAAACCTATAAAATTGATCCTAATTATTCTTTTCAAGAACAGACATGGCTGTTTTCACACAGAAACTAGCTATTGATGCCAATTGCCAGATCTTAGTTTGGGACTTGAGGGCTTTATTGCCCTTCCACTCCATCCCACAGTACTAAGGCGGAGGCTGAGACTCCAGGCGGCTAACAGATCAAACATTAAAGTTCCCAAGACACAGGATGACAAGGGCAAAGTAAAGAACCAGACTTGGGGAAGACGATGGGGGCCGGACTCTACTGGGACTTGTTCAGAAACCAATCACAAATGAATTATTAAGCAGCAGGCTCATTATATGAGGTGCCCAGTCACTTGAGATCGATTTGTTTTTTTTCCATATTCTTTTTGTTAGTGGTTTCCAAACTCTAAACGCATCTAGAAGGCAATGCTGGTTTGCCAGTCCGTGGCATCTTACAAAATGGCAATTAACCTCAATTAACCTTACAAACAGGAATATGTTTGCAGAAAGACTTTTCCCTCTACTTCCCTGAAGCTTTAGTTGTGAAACACAAGACTTGAGAATATGGAAACCCAAACTGAGATGTTATTTGCATCTTAATTGCTTCAATAATGCTTCTGCTTATTGGGCAAAGACAGCTTTTTAAGTGCTTTAAGTGGGATGATGTGTAAACGTGAGGACCAAGGCCTTCAGAAAGAGCTGAAGGCATTTCCTTGGTGCCTGCAAGTGTTGGGCTACAGAGGAGCCAAGTATAGGTCTGACTAGTCAGTTGCTTTCTAAGGTTATGATAAAAAAGAGGAGGAATTTCCTGTTATAGATTCAACATAAAAAACAAAACCACTCTTAACAAAAACAGAAAACTTCCTATATACGAAGGTCAGAGCTGACCAAAACCTTTCAGGACTGGGATTTTTTTTTACATGATGAAGCCTGCAAATGAGGTCACACATCCATCTAGATCATGTGGTTGCTAGTATGAATCTTTTCAATGACATAAAACGTCCTCCTGGACCACCTAACCCTTTCTGTTAAATCACACCGTGGTTTGTTTCTGCATATAAGGAAAAAAAAAGATTGAAAACAATGTTGACAAAGTCAAGTGGACAGAGTTTGAGCTATCTCCGAAGCCACAACCAGCCTCTTGGATCAAAGATCAAAGACAAAAGAAATGATGAAACTGATCAATTTGCGTTAAAGTATGCAGGAGCGGTATCAGGATCCTGGAGTCTCAGCTGGTGAAAACACAAACCCCAATCACAACGGGGGTTTACAGTGCACGCTGAACTCCACATGCATCATGTCTATATATCAACCTTTAGCAAGACATATGGATCACACCAGCCCAAACCAAGATGTCCGGTACATTTTATTTGAATGATCTCCGTGTTATGCCTGCTCATTTTAGCATAGCAAAGCTGCATGCTGACCAAGTCACTGAAGAATACTGCGGCTTTAATGATGCCAGACCCATCCTCAATCTGTGGTTTTAAGTATTTCCTTTGTAATGTCTGTGCAGCTATTTGGGAAATGAAAAATGCTTTTCCAGAAAAACAAAACACCCCCTCCCCCAATTCTTCCATCATTAGTCACTAGAGGCCCAAGCATATTCCAGGTCAGCCAGAATAAAGGGCAGGACAAGTTTATTGCTAAAAATAAAAGCCAATCTGTACCATAAGATGCAACAGTGAAATTCTTAAAAGCTTATTTCAATTCCTGTCATAAGTGAAAGTATTCTGAAAGAAGGAAAAAGTGTTTTAAAAATTGTCCAGCTTCACTTTTATCTAGTTTTCAGTGGCTCTTCTTTTTAAGTACAGTCCTGCCAGACTCTTCTACATAACCCAAAGTAGAAATGCCAGGTTTTTCCAGGATGTTATCAGATGTCTGCCTCTCTCCTCTCCATTTTGCACTTGGTTCAGCCTGCTGATATGATATTACCTCTTTGCAGTAAACCTGACTTTGATGAAAATGCTCCTGTCCTTGACAGCTGGACACCCAGCTCAAGAAACACCATCATAAGACAAACAATGGCAGAGAGCTGTGGATGTCTGAAACAAGCTAGCCAGTCATTCTGTTCATGCATATTCCCCGGGATCCTTGAGAATAAGCAAGTGGATAGATCCTAAAGATCCTAAAGCTTCCTCTGACGTGTAACCTGGCTTGCCCTCCTGTCTATTTTCTGTAGAACAGAGAGACAGGATTCTGCCACTGTGCAATATTGTCTGATGGGCTTCAGTATGTACATTACTGATGGGCAGCCCCAGGCTCGTAAGGTACTCTGGTTTTCATTACAATCCCGATCCTCTAATTAACTGAACTAACTGAACTTGGGTAAGAAGTCAGATCACCTGATTTAAAGGTCATAGTCAATGCCTATCTGTAAAGCACCTCTTAGACCTACAGGATTCCGGCCCTCTAGGACAGAGGTTCCTAAATCAGGTCCTGGATGCCCACAACACCCCTGGTTTATGTTCCAGCCGAGCCCTCAGTTAGAAAATGAAATCTGAAAACTGAACTTATAACAGAACCGCTAAATACTTTTGTTTCAACTCCATTAGAAGTTGCCTTTTTATGATAATGTTTCACTGCTGAAAACTCTCCATGTTCTCAGGAAGGAGCTGTCCAATTAGGTCACTTTTAATTAAGAGTCCTCATCCAGCAGGTACCCTGTCTCGTTTAATTATCAGAAGCTTAGGTCCTATGTAAAAACGTCACAATAGTCAAATTTATTCCCAACATAACCTCCTTCTCGGATTTGAAAGCCTGACGGGTTCTGATTCTGAAGGCCCCAGAGTGGAGCCGATTGATACAGACCACTGCAGTACTACAATACAACCAGCTCCTTAATTGCTACATGAATCCTTCTAATTAGCACATCAATATTTAAGGAGCTGGTTGTGCCAACATTCAGTAATGGAGTTCACTGGCAGGGCTACAGTGCGAGCAGCACAGGTGTATACAAAGTCATGGTGAGTCAAATGACACCCCCTGGCTCCCAGTTTCTAGATTGGGACCTATGCATTGTTTCTCTCCCGGACTGGTCATGTGATCAGGCAGCGGGCTGTTCTAGGTCAGGTACTGGACAGTCCCATCTGTGCTCTGAGGAGCTGTGGGCCCGAACCGGGACCCTCTGCGCAGCAATCCTCAAGACAAAAAACAAACTGCCTGATCTTCTGCCACAGCACAAGCTACAGCCTCCCGAGCGAAATATGTGAAGCAGACAGTCTTCGTTTACAGCCGACGAGAGCACAGCCAGTCCGCTATGGCAAAAAAAAGCTTGGCATTAATAGCCCAGAGCCCAGTGTAGCGTGAAAGCCACAGGAGCGAAGTTATTTCTAATTTTAGGCAGGTGTTAACGTGGATAAGCAGCATGTGTTCTATTTTATTCATAACCGCCAAATATTTTGTTAGGATAGATGTGACAAGGGACACGCCATGGCCTTAGTATCTCGAAACACAGCCGTGATCGCTGCTCCCACAAAGGGGAGCAAACCTGCCGTTTGTCACTCGGCGTCGGATCACTGACCTCAGCACCACCCCGCAGCTGCAGGGGAGGCCAGAGGGGGGCGCTATTCCCGTGGGGGCCCGAGAGAGCACTGGACGACTGGTCCCACCCAATCCCTCTTGAGCTTGAAACTTGGGATCACACCGGCATCTGACTCTGCGGACCGGGCAGCCCTCCGGCGAACACGGACTGACAGGAAGGCTGGCTTGCATTGGCAAGCGGTGATGTTCTCTTTGAGCGTAGGGTAATCAGGCCATGAAGACAGAGCAGCGGGGCTGGGAAAACACTGGGACGCAGTCTCCGAAAACCTCAAGAGGAATCGCAGGTCGGGACGTTTGGTGTCTATGCTTGGCTGAGGAGCCAATGGTGCGAAGCTGCCATCTGTGGGATTATGACTGAACCCCTCCAAGCCTGAATCCCCCCTCCTACCTGATCTCTTCCAGCAGCTCGCTCTCCTGCTGGTGCTTGCTCTGCAACCGGGCCACCTGCTCTGCAAAAACCACCTTCACCTCCTGGGTCTCCTTCACCTGCAACACACAGCACACGGCCTCACTGTTCCTGGTTCTGTTCTCCTGACGTTCAGCACTGCCCCGAGGCCAGGTTTCGCTCAGATGTGTTGGGATAAACAGACTGGGGGTGGGGCTTTATTCTTCTGTTTCCATGAGCAATTAACCGCTTTTCTATGGACTAAAGAACTGTCGGTGTTTCTACAGCAGTTAAATCCCTACAGTTACATTGTCGGTGACATGCAATCACGTGTTAGAGAAATTCAAAAGGAACCCCTAAAGAGCATCATAATAAACTCCTTTTCATCATCCTTGCACATTTCCACCTTCAGATTGCCGCAGGAGGAATGGTGCAATACCACTATCTGCAGCGTTCAAGCTAGACGCACAGAGTGTAGTACCAAATGAATGCCAAGAAGCATCATAGAAGCCGAGCTGTGAAACTGATAGTCCCCAGTTTGGGAATGGCTGGGGAATCATTAAAAAGCAGTCAGAGATCGATGCAGACAGGATCAACTCCGTCAGCTCAGAGCGTCCGACCACAACCTGATTAACAATTTTCCACGCCGACAGCCTAATGCGCTGCAGGGAGAATGAGCACGCTGGGGCAAATGGGAAGCACAGATAACCACACGAGATAAATGACCTTTGCAATCAGCTCAACGTGAGTGGCTAAACAGAGGTTTACTTTTGTTTTACTCCACTACCAAAAATATCTCAGGATATTCAATCCTGCAGTTCACATAGAGATGTGTGTGACTTGTTCGGTATCAACTCTATTGTATGTTGTCACCCTGTACAAAGTTCCCACTGAAAAAAAGCACACAGCACATCAAGATGTAAGAAAAGGAGACCTTTTTCTAGATATTTGGGGTTCCTGTGTGTACTGAACACTGCATTCATTTATTTTCAATGTAACCTCAAAACACAGAATTCCAGGTCTGTTTAAGATGGGCCAGAAATTATGGGAGTAATTGCCCATCCATTATTATTCTGGTAAGGAAGAGGCCAGATAGCAGGAGACCCTGCACAGCGTGTGGTACAGAACACACTCACATGGGCACCACTGGGAGATGCCTAATAACCCATTCAGCCTTTGGGAGGTGGGAGAAAACCAAAACAGCCAGTGAAATTACAGGGAGAACATGCAAACTCCACACAGATGGCAGTGCAATCCACAATCAAACCCAGGATCCAAGAGTTGTGGAGCAAGCGCTTGTTTAACCACGGTTGTTGTTTTTTTTTTTTACTATTTAAAGTTATTGATCCACGTGGGATCTTCAAAATGTTTATAACTGGAGTGATGGTGTCTTGCCTTCCAACTGTGCCTGATTTCCTGGTGTGAATACTTATTCGCAGAAATGTGTAGAAAGAGACAGACAGCAAAACTAAAACTTCACACGTCTGCACGGATGTATGGACTTCGAAACACTCCGTGCGCATAACGCATAATTCCTAACGATCGTGATTAAAAAAAAAAACATATACAGTATATATGCTCATATACAGCACAATCATAAAGCATAACTTTGACATCAACATGAGCATGAAGATTCTGGACCTGTACGTTAATACATTAGCTTTTGAAACGTTATTCCTTTAGCTCTATCCAAAGAAGTATCATGCAAAACTTCACAAAGGTTAGACTGACAACAGATGTTTAATGGAAAACGCTCGAAAGTTCACATTTTGCAAGAACTCAACGTCTATTAGGCGAATGCGACAGCGGTACCCTGTTACGTCTTAGCTTGACGATACTTCAATATTCTCTTATAGTTTTGTACTTCAAAGCTTTTTTACCTTTCGGGGAGGAGGCTGCATTTTCCGTTTCTTTTGTTTCCTCGGCTGCGCTCAATCCGGTTTCTCTTACACTCACTTTTTTTTTTTCGTGATGATTTGAGTAATACTTCCTCCGTTTCCGACTCTTCCTCTCACCCATTCTGCCCGCCTCTCCGATACGGCAAACAGCCGACTCTGGAGGAGAAGGAGGAGTCTCTCGGACACACCTGCAGTTTGCCACCTACTGCACACCACCGCCACCGAGCGGATATTTCCACAACTGCAGCCAGTGGGCACTGGGAGCGCAGCTTTTCAGTGGGAGTTTCAAATGACGCTTCCATGTAACTCGAAATGTTCACAAACTGAAAAGAACGGGTGACCAAATATGAGTTTTTACCTGTAATGCTTTCGTTTGAGCAAAGCGACTTTATGTATATGTCACTTGCCCTGAAAACACCATCCACGCTGCGTTTTTGTTTTGTTTGAACAGCAAAACAAAAGTACTAATATACATACTTATCTGTACTTCTTAGACCAGATTATTGAGCAAACACAGGAACCTTTTCAGACCACAGTGAGACAATGGAAGTAGAAATTTGCTTTATGACTCAGTGATTAAAATATAGCTGTTTTTAAAAACCAATACAGCACGATGTTATTTTAGATGTGTCAAACGCAGACCATTCACAAAATAAAACACAACGGTCGTTTCCTGTAATGATAACAAAAAAAAAGGATGAATAAAAACAAGCTTTATTTTAAACAGTGCCTTTAAAAGCGCTTTACATAAAAAAAGATAGACGATGAAAGAAGACAGCAGATTTGCACAGTTACAATGGGGGCTTGGAATACAGTAGGGAAGCCAAGAGGCAGTTAAATAAAAGTCATCTAAAAAAGAAGGTTGTGAACGGTGATTTCAAAGACCTCAGGGGAGATTGCATAAGAAATTTGCCCATTTGCGCACGACGAACAAAGATGCGAAGATGCGAAGATTCCAGATGCGAAGCATTGAAAGATCAACAGAGTTTATATGATTAGGCCTGTTTAAAGGTACTACCAAAAAGCTTTTTTGTTGGGTAGTCATCCCTTTATCGAGACTCTCTTTTTATTCCTCTGGATAGCAAAAACGGGGGGGTTTATTTGCAGATGCGGTTAAACCTTTAATTAAAATACGTTAACTGCGCTGTGACACCATATGAAGCCTCTTCCTTGTCTAACTACCAACTGCAATAAAATATGTGTCAACCAGGTTGTCCAAAGCGCATGAACCCTAGAAATGTTCAGTTTCAGCCTTTTTATTCCTGCATGATTCTACAAACGGGCCATCCTGCCCTTTCACCTATTTTGGTTGCTGTTAGCTAGTCGATGTGAAGAGCCCACCCATTTCCTAACCACTTTATCCAGCTCAGGGTCGTTGGGGAGCCGGAGCCTGTTCTGACAGGCCACAGGTGCAAGGCAGGGTGCACACAAGAGGCCAATGCACTTCAGGGCACACACAGCCCCTCACACACTCTCTCCTATGGCCAGGTTTGCCAGAGGATAATTGACCTACCAGTATGGGGACAACATGCAAACTCCACACACATATCACTCCAGCAGCTGAACCCAGGGCCCCGACTCAGTATGTTATTCGCCTCCTCTCCTAAACTGAGGACTGTGGACGCATGATCATTCCCATGCTATGCACCATCATAGCAAACATCAGGAATTCTCTTTTTTCATTCTTATTATTATGCTTCTAGTCAGGAAAAATGTGTGAACACACGGGTGTTAGTGATTATCAAAAAAGCAACCTTCCATTGCATGTTTATTGAAAGACAATTTGTTTAACACTTATCTCAAATAGGCAAGAACTAGCAGAACAATCTTACATGAAATGTGTCAGTGTAATGGAGTAAAAGCACTCTGACTTGGTAAGATTAATAGCAATGCACAGCCTGAAAAGAAAACAATGCAGACTAAATGAAAGATAGTTAAGGCCTCTGTCACTTTAGGGATTTCCCATCCCTTGATGAGTGACCTATTTATTATTTTTCTGGTGCTCTTGATGTGTTGTGATACAAGTCTTTAAAGAGTTAAGAACAAAAACTGCATTCATGACTCAAATAAAATCGATCCGCTGTGTGAGAGCTGCACTTTCAGCTGTAGGCTGCCTGCAGCCCTCACCTGATTGTCAACATGATAACCGAACAGATAAACATCAGCTAAAAAAAGTTCCACTGCTATAAGAAGCAAGTCTGTTTTTGCCCCATATTGTAATGCGTAGCCCTTTGCAATATGCAGACTCAGGAGAAATTACAGAAAACTGCAAAGACTCACTTTCTGCAGCTTAAACGTGTTGGGAAGCAATTCAAATTGAAATACTGATCGTTGACTGCATGCATTTTCAGGTCACATAGTTGCTTCATATGTTCATTTGTTTAGAATTTGATTGATTGCTTTACTGTCCAACATTTACAGCGTGGGATTTTAGATTTCCGTAGCCTTCAGAATAAAAAATGTGCTCAACCATTTTGAAATAAACTGGAAGTTAAAGGACAAACCACATAAACATACTCCACCTTTCTCATTAATTCTGCAATGCACACAAGGCAGCTCACACATCCCCTTTCACACACGTTTCCATGTCGTTCGTGATCCGGAGCTGATTCCTAAGAATTCTGCGACCTTGAGGATCACGTCCCATCATAGTCTTCTCTATTCAAGACGTTTACACATTACAGTGATTTTGTAATATGGATCCCTTTAATGATAATAATAATAATTCCTTACACTTAGATAGCTCTTTTCTGGACACTCCACTCAAAGAAGCTTTCAGGTAATGGGGATCCCCCTCCAGCACCACCAGTGTGCAGCCCCACCTGTAGGAAGCTCCAGTCCACTCCCCACACACGAGCTCTCAGTGGGGAGGAGAGCAGAGTGATGGAGCCAGTTCAGAGATGGGGATTATTAGGAGGCCATGATTGGTAAGGGCCAATGGGAAATTTGGCCAGGACGCCGGGGTAACACCCCTACTCTTTTCGGGAAACAACCTGGGATTTTTAATGACCACAGATTGAGGACCTCGGTTTTACATCTCATCCTAAGGACAGCACCTTTTTCCAGTCTAGTGTCCCAATCACTATACTGGGGGATTAG